TTTCTTTGACAAAGTCCTTTGGTCTCCCTGTTAACCCTGTTGTCCCCAAAAAACTAAGACAAAACAGCATCCAAGAATTTCTCTATCTTCAGAACGTGCTGCATTTCAATTGAGGAAAATGCCAGACACCGAAAAGCGTTCAAACACATTTTCTGCAAATGCTAACTAATTCTCTTTGGCTTCAAAATGATTGTATTCGGAAGAAAAACCGACATCTTGCAAAAGAGCACAGGTTCAGCGCGCTGAAAAACGTCCACAACTAGCCGGTTTTGGAAATCGTTCATCTCCAGTGCAACTGTCGTCTATTCTATTGTGGTTTTAAGCGCCGAGAATCGATAGTTGAATTTTCTCGAAAAGAGAAAGAAGCGAGATCGGGAAAGGTGCAGGGGAGGGGGGGGGGGGGAGAGAAGAGTCGAAAGTGCATTGCAGTGCAAGTTTGCAAAAAGATCTTTGAAACAGTCTAACTTGTTTCTTCTGTAAGTTGAAGTGTTCTGAACATGCGACCTTGGTATACTTCTACAGTAAGTGCAGTTTTTTGAAGCATAAGTACTTTCTTGTGCGGAAACTGATTGGGGAAACCAAAACTAAGCACTCGCCCAAGCGGCAGCTCATGTGCTTCATTCATCGCCGAGAAACTTAACATTAAACTCTCGCCCACCATCGTATTCTCTCCGAGCGATCTTCTATGAATACGGTAGCGGGCGAGAATTTGAAAAAGGAATTCTAGCTATAAATAGCTTTTATGAGGTGGAGCTCAGACTATGAAATAGTAGAGGTCTCTTGATACTCACATGAAGGGAAGCCCCCGGTTGACTTGTGTATCTATTCTTTGGTCTGCAAATTGATTAAGAGGATTTAACTAAGATATCATCAGAAGTAACTTAGTATGATGCGTTCATGGACAAAAAGTTTAAAGTTAAACTTTCTCGCCCACTACCGTATCCCTTCTTGGTATAACTCCTCGACTACGGTAGTGGGCGAGACTTTAAAATCGTATTTCTCGGCCGCGAATGAGCCATTTGAGCTGCCTCTCGGGAATTACTCAGAATTTCTCAATTGGATCCCGACAAGAAATTCAAGCACCCCAGAATCACCTTGACATCTCCCTTAGCACATAGTGTATTTATGCAAATTTTCGTGCTCCACTGATCCAGATCGCGCTAAAGTCAAGGTTCACATCGTCGTCCCAAAAGTTTTTCCACATTTGCCACATTAACATTTGATCGTCTCGCGCACTACATTCGCACTGAATTCACATCGCGACGAAATGGCAGTACATTGGCCTGAATCTCGGCAATGTACGTCTTTAAGAAAAGAAACGCTTGGAAAAATGGCCTTCTAACGTATCGCGAATTGGCCGACGGGGCGCGGCGGCATTCTGCGACTACGAAGGCCATTTTTTTACATTTGCACTGATGCTAAGATGATTGTATCCTTTGCGATGGACAATTGCAAAGCGCGATTGTGCAATTCACGCATTCGATCTCTGATTCAACCATTTGCACATTTTTGATATACAAAGCTGCTTTATTTTTGCACAGTCAGTATAATTTTTACCCGTTATCCCTCTCTCATCATTCTTAATCTATCGACCACGGCACCTAGTTTTTCGTGGCGCTGTGGACGAGATTTTGCACAACTCTTTCGGCGTGGGAAAGTTTTATGATTACTTACGAAATGTAAAGTTATTTTGTAAACAATTAAAAGCATCTTATTGGACCACGAAGTCTACCGGTTCCAAGAGTGCAAAAAACTGGAAAAATACTGAAACTGTGGGAAAAATACTAGACTTTGAGGATATGGTTTTGCAAGGGGTGTGGACCACCGGTGGTCCATATCGTCCCTGGCGGCAAAAAGTGCGTGGCCACCGTGGTGCAGATCGTCGTCAATGGGTTAATCTGCTGGTTTTGTGTGGCCGGCACTTCAACCACTAATTGTTTCATTTATGTAGATATTCTTACTCCTTGATTTTTATGTTTAAACGTTCGAGCTCAAAAATCAATCCATCACCCATTTTCTATTCACTCCATTCATTCACCATTTATTCAGTCAACCTCTCGAGCCCGATTTTGATTCTGATTTCTTTGAAGCAATATCATGCATTTTGTATTCAAAGACTATATTCCGTTTGAGGGTTTTTGCGAAAAAGTTTGGCACGATATAAGCTAATAAAAGCGCAGCAAAATGCACTTTTATTGACTTATGTTCTTGTTCTTCCTGTGAGGTCGAAAATAATATTTTAGAAGGTTTTGGAAAGTATCTTGACTAGTCGGGCTCCACAAAGTACAGATCCAGTATGTACCGACTATAGTTGAATGGCTTAATAAATTCAGATCAGGTTTGAAGAAGATAAGTAACAAAGCGTTACAATAATCGCTAGAGTCATCATGTATAGTTCACTTATAAATTAGTGACGACGGATTTCACTGCGGCCTTTGCGCCCACAGGAGCATAAAACGCTTATGCAAGAAGTTATCACCTCAACTTTCAGCTCAGTCACTTCCAATGTCTGAATGAAAAAAACGTAAGCAAACATTCGACTGAAGATGAAAACCAAGAAAATGCGATTTCCAGGAGTGGCGTGCGTGTCGCGCGCGGTCGCGCCATCGTCATGATTTTTTAAATGCCCTATACCTTAATTATACATATCACTGGCATGGTTGATGATCGCAAGATTGATTTTCATTAATGAAGGAGTAAATTAAAGAAATTTTGAGGGAAATGGAACTTGAAAATCTTGAGGGGGTCAATACCAAATTTGTTGAGGAACTGAATCTACCGTAATCCTTTGTGCAGCAAGCTGTTCACTTCATAATTTTCGAAAATCGTTAGGAGTATTTTTACGCCTTTCACTCACTTCATTAGACCTTTTGACTCTATTAAGTTTTATGTTGCGCAAGCTAAGAGAAACCTTCCTTACTGCGCAAACCCCTCCTCTCCGCCTTTTTGCTTAGCCATGCTATTGCGTTCTCCTAATAGGGTTTACTATCACTGCCGCTAATATCCGACATTGCGCGCATCCGACGCCCAGCCGCATCGAAACGAGTTCTGCAAGCGCACACATTCTACTGTTTCTTCGTGTTTGTCATCTCGCCGTCTCCGCCCACCTTAAAAGGTGATTTGCGCAAAGAGATTGTATATGTACCGGTCGCAATCACACACAACACTCATTCACACACGTTCCATTAGACCTTCTCATGTGTGACATAACGCCGTAGGAAATCGAACGGGGGTTTTGAGCTGCCGCTTCTTTTCATATGCAAAAAAAACTAACGGGGAGAAAGGCACGCACGGGGGGGGGGGAAGGTTGGCGGAGGGAAAGTGCGAAGGTTGAAAGTTAGCCACCCACTGGGCGTGGTCGTCGTTACGATTTCAAGGTTACGATCGTTGAAGATTTAATGAGATGGGCGAGAAGGGATGGGTGGGCAAGAACGGGAGTGGGAGGGCTAGCAAAATTTTGCTTAGTCACTTGTTTGGTCAGGTTGGGACGGAAAATATTTGTTCGTTGATTATATCCCTTTTTTGTCCTTCAATTTTTTCGTTTTTCTGCAGTTTTAAAAAATTCTTAACGAATTTCACGCCCATTCGCCAATCCTTCCCATCTTGGGTCTTTCTCTTTCCTCTTGAGAATTGCTGATGTTTTTTTTTATTTTTTTCTATGATACCGTAACCCTACCGTATTAGTACCGTAGTCCTACACTACACGCTGTTCTCCTTTTTTGTCCTCCACTTGCTTTGGTTTGAGCTGATCAGTGAATCGTGTAAAAAGTGTTCGTATTAAAGGAATAAACTCTGTAAAAGTGGCAAAGTGTGCACGATTCTTTTCCATGAGAGAATTCCTTCCGATTAATTCGATGCTTAACGATTTGTAAGTTTTTCGCTAAAAGGTTGTGACAACCGCGATGGTGTAAGCTTGCGTCGATTCCGCAATTCCAGCTAACGAAACTTCGGAATTTTTCTCAATGATTGATATGTACTTTCTCGTTTCTAGTGCATAAGGAGGTGAAATGACTTTCAAATTTCATGCTGGCATTGGAGGTGGCATCTATTTCTCTGTGCTTCTTGTTTATACAGTTACTTCGGAAAATCACCAAAGATAATTGACAAATAATCTCTCTTTGATCAATAAAGCAATCTTGAATCCATACTAGTACATAAAATTTTAGTAATTCCTGATAACTTGACTATTGTCTAGTGATTTAATAAGTATCTCAGTCCAATGCTAATTTTACTAGCTGTCGATGACACTTATAGCCTATTTCTTTGATTTTTATAACCTAATCAACGCTTATGTGAGATAAGCATGTATCAGCATTTTTTATTGTAGTCAAGATTTTTTTTCTTAATTACATGCAAAGTTTCCTTTTGAAAACTCAGCCTTATCGCTTCAAGAAAAAAAATTGAACTTTGAAATCATTTGAGGCCACGTCTTGCATTTTGCGACCCATGCAAAAAAGTTTCAAAATGGGCAGACAATTTTACGCGATTATGTTTTGCACAAAGGAATAACTTGATTAGTTTTTTGTGAAAATCTGTGCAATTTTTCATGTGGTTTCTCAAACAGATTCTCTATGGCTACCCTTTGTAAAGCGCATAACAGTTTCTATGAAAATGAAACATCAGATAAAGGAGTATAAACCATAGTCTCGTAATAAAAATCCAAAAACTGGCAGAAATCTATTTTATGTCATTTACAATTCTTATCCTTTTATTTTCTTGATTTTACCAAACACTGGTTTTTCTCAGTATTTTTTTGTTATTTTCATAAATCCAGAATATCTTAACCTTCGAGTAAATGGCCTCGTCTCTACTACGATTTTCATCCATGTATTGTAACCGCACTCTTGACCTTAGTCCGCGATTTTATGACAGCGGTCAGCCTACTACTACTCTTTATTTATTACCCACACAACTACTCCGAGATTTACCACTCTTAAATAATATAATTCATATTTTTACAAGAAAATTCCCGTTTCAGGCGCCGCGGTCTTCCTGGCGCTATGGCTCGTGCCATAGTCGTGTTATTGCTGCAATTGGCAGTTTGCCAAGCGAACACCTATAATCGGCAGCAAACCTATGGTAAGCAAATTATTCGTACTTTTCGTTGTTGTCCGGTTTTGTGAGTAATTTTTCTGTCCCTGAATCAGGGAGGGGGGGGGGGGAGACGAATGGGAATGGCATTCTCTTGCGCGGGTGTGATTAACTGCCACACCCTTAGCCTTGAGTTTTGGCGAGTTGTTTCGCGCGGACATTTACCCCCCCCCCCCCCCCCCCGTCTCATCCACCCATCACCCCGCACCCCTGTAATTACTCATTTCACCCAGCGTTGTTGAAACATTTCACCTTTTCACCAAGGTCAAACTCGTTCCTAAAAACGGCTCCGACCACGCCCCCAAATGCTACAACTCGGATGTATCGAATGACAGCAGCCGTGTAGTTAAATACACACCAATAAAGCTGTAATTACGGTAATGACCCCCGTGATCGTGGCGCGCTTCAAGAGACCAGTTTTACATTTCGCTGACGACAGGATTAGCCGCGCGCATGAGTTAAAAAACATGCGCGAGACATGAAGGAGCCAGATTTTGTGAAACACATGTAGCATAACCATGTTTTAGGTGGGCGCTGATGTAGAAATAGATGGTTGTGCAATCGCAGAAAAAGTTATGACATCTCATAATAGGCGAAGTATCCTATGAATAAAATGAAGAATAACTGGATGATAAATACATGAAGAGCTTTCAAATAATAGTAGCCAAGAAATAGTGGACTGGAATTTGTTCGAACAAAGGCAGTTCGCTCGGGTGGATATTAAATCTGGGTGAAACAGGAAATTTTTGAATCATATAAGTGTATTCAAATCAATGAATGGGTCACATAATTAGATCAAGAACATGGGTACGGTCACAATTTCGATTGTTGATATCAAATGCAGAATCTTGCTTTCATTTTTTTGCCAGCACTTCTTTTCTGGAATTTACTTTCAAAGGTCAATCATACACAAAGAAAACAAGCGCAATATTTTTGATATGCAATCAATAATATAGATAGAGAATACACAAATAAATACTAGGTAACTAACAGAAATGGTCGCAAATTGTTCTCTTAATGATAAGGCCTAAATGGTTTTTTAACTCGAAAATGCCTTAGCCACGTCTGCTAAAAATTCTTTTAGCTGCTTCCCAGGTTTTTTGCAATTTTTAACACAGAATATTTTGCGCTAATCTAACTGTTATAAGGCTGGAAGAAATTTATTCTTAAGGTATTTACAGCATATCTACTTGATAGATCTCGCATGCTTTCATAATTCACATAAAAGTTTTAGAAAATTTTGCGATTTTCTCTGTCAAGGGAAAGAGCAGCGTGGGGCGAGGGGCTTGTAAGCGGTAAGTATTCTCCTAACGAAGATTTGATTTAGGTTTGAAGCAGTGCAATTATTTCATCCATAATTCATTATTTCATTGGCTTTAATCCGTCTGCATTTTAATCCAACACCAAAAGGCCTAATTCTTCTATGAATTATAATATAATAACTTCTTTTACAGCTCCTAGCACATTACAATGCCGAGTCAACGATCCGCTCTCGTGTAATCAAGCCAAGCACGAGGTGAGAATTCGCAATTTTTAAAAATTCATTTTGTTGCTTGAAAACTGTCTGAACTTGAAAAAATTACCTTTTTTTCTTACTTTCTCGGATGCAGTAGTATTTTCTCATCGTAGCCTTTCTCTTTCGAAAACAAATAATTTCCTTTCTCTTACTCCTCTAAACTTCTACAAGTTGATCTTTTTGTTGAATTTTTACGCGTTTTTAAATGTGCTATCTACAAATTTAATAATTTTAGGTCTGCATTTTTATCAATAGCCAATATCGATGTGAATGCCCGACGGGTGTAATGCGACTAGGTGATGGTCGATGTCTTTGGGTAAATGAATGTGCTCGACCATCACTGAATACCTGCCATAAGGATGCCATGTGTGTCGACAAGGTTGGTTATAGTACATGTACCGTATGCTACCGTACTCATATGGCTGGATCCAGGAAGAGGGGTACACTTGTGAGTGTAAACCAGGATTTGCCGATGTTTCACAAGATCGTACGAATAAGCCTGGACGAATATGCCAGAAAACCAGCAACGAATGCAATCAGAAAGAAACGTGAGTTTTAGGCTAGGAAATATAAAAGTTGGGAAATTTTCTTACTTTTAAGTTGTGAAAAATAAATAAAATTGTTTTCAATTTGTGACCTACTGATCTATAGATACGGTGTTGACTGTGACCCCAACGCTGCTTGTGTGGATACCCCAGAAGGATTCCAATGTGTTTGCCAGCCAGGATTTGCTGATGTTTCATCTTCCGTTAGCAAACTGCCAGGAAGAAAGGTATGTAATTCCGTATTTCTCCATCAAACTTCCTTTTGAATCCCCCTCATGACTAGGTCCGAGTGAAATATGCTCGGCTTTCATCTTAAATTTTTTCCTATTCAAGGGTCTTTTCTGCTTTCTTTCTCATGTTCATATGTACTTTGCGTAGCGTTGTATTCTCACTCTCCGATGTTTTTTTTTTGAAGTTTTAAAGGTCTAAATGCCTAATCATGTTTAGTATCTAGTTCTCAGAATTCTTTCAAGATTTCAACCACAGGGCAGATCTCGAGGATTGGAAGTTTCTTTTATTCAAATAAACACCAAATGCTCATTTCAAATATTAATTTTTTCACCTTCTATTTTGTTCCTCAGTATCATCTCACCTGCCACTTTTTCATTCTTCCCTTTCAAACCATAAAGGTCTAGCAGGAAGGAGCACACAAATGTTTAACCTCCGGTGGATTTTTAATTAATTTCTGGAGTATGATTGATTTTAGACATCAGGAATTGCCGGCCTTTTACTGTTAAAAATTTCTAATTTTTATAGTATTTTACTTCTGAAGCAATATTTTTTGTTTGGAAGTTTGATTTCTTATATTTAGTGCGTCGAAGTAGTGAACGAATGCACCACTGGCAAAGCTGACTGCTCCTGCAATGCTGACTGTTTTGACCGAGCCGAAGGCTACGAGTGCAAGTAAGTTTCCACTAGAGGTAGGTTTTTCTAAACTGTCTAAACTTTCGTTTTCAGATGTCGTCCTGGATTCGTTGACGCTTCGCCAGACGTCGTACATTATCCTGGAAGAGTCTGTAATAAGCCGAAGTCGCCAGAGCATTATGGGCAGACTAGCCGACAGGTAGAGAATAAATTTAGAAAGTAGCCTTTGATTCAACTGGCTTGACGGTTGGAAGGCGGGGCTTTGTGACCTACTTGAGGCCGCTCGCACCCGCGACGCAGCCTGCGTCTCTATCACGTGCATGCTCTTCGATCATTATCTAGCCTTAATTAGGTCACAAAGTTCCAACTTCAGGCCGCCAAGCCATTCGATTCAAAGGGTAATTGAGGGTAAGTAAGCAACTCTATCCCTGTATTCCGATCCCAAAATCCAAAAGCTCAAGCTTTTACTGTAACCTTCGTTAGGGAGGAGGAGTGCATAAATAAAAATGCTAGTTACAATATGGTATCAACCCTTTGGTGAGGTTACGGTAAGGCGCTAATACGCTAAATCTTACGTGAGCACATATTTATTTATTTTTCTACCTCACATATGAACTAGACAAATTACCACCCCTTTGCGGTAACCCTTCATTGTGTGATTACGGTACATAAATCGCAGGACCTACCGTAATCCCACAATGCCGTACTCGTGATCATGATAGTCGTGTTGTATCATGTTGTCCAATAGCCCTATAAGATGGCATTTGACCTCTTACCACATACGTACCATAACACCACAACAGGGCGTTGCCGCAATGAGCGGATTATGGTAGTCGTGTCTCAACAAATAAAGAAAAAATTACATGTTTACTTTTTCACACCGTTTCAATCCTTCCCTTAGACGGTGTATGACTTGATTTCTAAGTTGTTAAATTCTTTAAGCTCACTTCCAACGTTCTGTAATTTTGACCTTTTACCGTATATCCACCATAACCCACCCTTTGTTCAACTAAATTGGCGGCTGGAGGGCGGGGCTTCGTGACCTAAATAGGGCTGGAGAATGATCAGAGAGTATGCGCGCGCAAAAGACGCAGACTGCGTAGCGGCTGCAAGCACCTATAATCGGGGTCGTGAAGCCCCGCCTTCCAACCGCCAATTCAGTTGAAAGGTCACATTAAGAGTCACTATATGCTAAATGAATATGTACAATTACATCAGCATATGAGACAACGTCCTCGTACCGTTCAGCAAACTATTCTTTTAATTTTGGGTGAAATTAATGAATTGTACCGAGTAAGCAATAAGTACAATAATGTCAGCGTCTAAATGCCTCTCGAATAAGATTACGGTAGGTGTACGGTAATAAGTCATTAAGTCAATACTTCTAGCCTCAATGCACTAGTTCTGCACAATGTGGAGCGAATGAAGAATGTCGTTTCAATGCTAAAGGTGAAATGGTATGTCAGTGTAAAAGAGGCTCTGTTCAACAGCGTGACGGACAATGTAAAGGTGGGCGAGTCCATTTTTTTCTTGAAAAAACATTTTTTTCTAAACGGAATTCTTGTTTGAATATATTAAGAAGTGCTTATTTAGTGTTCTCACAATGTGAACGCAATAATGAATGCGATAGAAATGCCATATGTTCGAACACATATGATGGTTTCCGATGTCAATGCAAGGTGAGTAGGTTTTCCATCAAGAATTTCGCCATTTGCTGATAATTCGAAAAATCTAGGACATTGTCCGTAAGTGCACTTGGCAGGAAATACCATTATCAGGTCGTTATCCATAAATATCAGCGCCTGACGCGTGTCCTTCGAAAGTAGAATGCAATCAGAAGTGTAAAAGAAGTCAATGCCTGCAAATATTTCTAATTCTAGCCTGTCGATAGCTGGCAAGACGGCGGCGCAAACATGATGCCTCTGAGTCGAGGCTCGAAAGCACAATTGCCGCGCGTTATGTTATTGATCACTTTGCATGATGGCACGAGCGCAACTGCGCCTAGAAGCTGTGTGTATGAAAAATCGAGCGTATTTTCTGTCACCTTTTGATAATGAAATACTGCTTGAGTTATGCCTCAATACATACGTCTCACAGTACCGCAACACATCGGTGCCTCTGAATCGAGGCTCGGAAGCACGGCTGTTGCGCGCTAGTGTTATCGATAAGCCTCGCTGGCATGCTGAGACACACGCAGCTATGCCCAGCTGTTTGTACAAATAGTTGCGTATATTTTGCTTATTTTATAATCATAACATAAAAAATATAATTAAATGAAATAAAAATAAATTGAATTGCTGCTGGAATTATGCGTTATCACATAGCTTATCTACTTTGACTGTCATCGATGAATGTTGTACAGAACAGCAGTGCGTCAGTGATGCCTCTGAGTCGCGACACGATAGCACAATTGTGACTCGCCATATTATTATTAATCTCGTTGGCATGATCGCTCTTACGCGTTCATAACCTTACTGCATAACTATTTACAGGCTGGTTACATCGATGTCTCACCGGATCCATATCACCTACCTGGACGAAAATGCCAACAGAGTCAGTTTCCATTCTTTCGTATCATTTTCATGTCTACAGTGATTCCTTTTACAGTAGTCAACGAGTGCGCTGACGGAACAGCTGATTGTTCACCGTATGCAGAATGCATTGATCTACAGCAAGGCTACATGTGCAAATGTAAACAAGGATATACGGATGTCTCATCGAGGTATAATCTGCAGCCAGGAAGGAGATGCTCACAAGGTAGGTCAATCAGAGTCTTTGACTACGGTACTGGGCAAGAGTCAGAATTGAATTTTTGGGCCAAAAAATTTTATGAGCTGTCAGTTGGACAGTAGCTTAGCTATGACCTTCCAATCAGCTTCCACTTAAAAAGTCCACTTACCTTAACATGCAAACTGTCTCCAAAGTGTGGATCCCTCCTACCGTACGCTTACCGTACTCCGAAAAAACATTTTTAACTTGCAATGAGTATTATTCCGTCACATCAGCAGCGTTTTAGAATAGCGCCTTCATGCATCCCAGCCACATCTGACTTTTTGAAAGCTATAATATTAGTAAATAGGGTCGTCTATCGATATATCGATTATTTACCGTATTTCAGGAGCCAATCAATGCTCGGATCCAACGCTCAACTCTTGTGATCAAAATGCGGATTGTGTCCAATTGCCTGATGGTTACACATGCAAATGCTTTGCTGGATATGTTGATGTCTCAACAAATGCAAATCTCCCACCTGGACGAGTCTGCACGCTCAGCACTGTTTGGTGAGTATGGACTCTTAGAAAGTGTTCTCTTTGCTCATGTAATGGCTTACAGCCCTGTTCAAGCGACTGATTTGGTATTTTTGATTGATGGCTCGGGATCGATCGGATCATATATATTCCAGACTGAGGTAAGGTTCAATTCTGATAGCCTGGAACTGGCGATGTCAGAATGTAGTTCAATATCGTGCATTTAGAAATAGTATAAATAAATATCGTGGTCAAAAAATTCTAATTTTGAAGGACGTTTCAAAAACAAACGAAAAGGGTGTTCGATCTTTTTTTTCAATTTTTCGATATTCATTTCATTTTTTAAATTCTTTCCGTGTGTTGTTAATGCCATCCATGTGCTAAAAAAATAGGAAAGATTTTCTGGGAAAATCGTTGAAGAAAATTGTCAATGATATCGAATGATAGCTTGTATCCTCCTTTATTTACCTCCACAATTTTTTTGAACTTTTTTCAGGTACTGAGATTCCTCAACGAGTTCACTGAACTTTTCGATATTGCTCCTGACAAGACTCGCGTATCCGTAGTACAGTACTCCGATCAAATCAGGTAAGCTACGATTACGGTAGCTAGCTGCCAGCTTCTGTATTTGCAGACATACACAAAAAAGAGGGGAAAAGGTATAAAAAGAAGCTTTCTCCTTTTCCTTGCTTGTTTCCATTCATCTGGGCACTTTGTATCATAGCTCTGTGATTTACAGCTCAATTTTAACAAAGAACTTTTGTGGCAGAGAAAGTCGCAACTGCGGAATGAATAAAAGACTTCGTTGTAGCCTTTCTAAGAATTACTGTTCTAGACATGAGTTCGGCTTGGATGACTATAAGGACAGCAAATCACTCCATGAGGCCATTAAAGGAATTGAGTGGGTCTTTATGCCCTTTTTATTGATTTTTTCAAATTTCAAGCATATTTCAGCTACCTTACCGGACTTACCCGTACTGGTGCCGCTATTGAGCATGTGGCCACAGAGGCCTTCAGCGAAAGACGGGGTGCTCGCCCAATTTCCGATCGGGTTGCCAGAGTTTGCATCGTAATCACTGATGGTAGAAGTCAGGTGAGCTCTCTTAACGTCGTCGAGTCATTCGCAACTTCATCTGCGTACTACACACCACGCGCGCTACTTCACGACATGTAAGAGTAAAAATTGCTAAATTGCAGGGGTTTCTCCTTAATTTCTTCTCTCTTTCGGTTCGATTGGATATGTATTGGGTAGTAGTACACATTTGCAAAGTTTTTTTCACTAGAAAAGCTTTTATTGACAGATTTTAAAAGTGTCGTCAATTGCCGCGCGCAGTGTGCAAGCCCACTTATTAAGTTACAAAAGCATCTTATATGTGTATTCATGTTTCCTGTGATTATCGATTGATTTCAGGACAATGTCACGATCCCAGCTATGAACGCACGTCGCCAAAATATCCAACTTTTCGCAGTGGGGGTCACTAACCACGTTCTTCAAGCTGAACTAGAAGAGGTGGATTATTCGACAGATAATCGGCTTTGTGTGCAAACACACAGTGCCAAACTTTTCTTGACTATCTTGCTTAGGCAAGCCCCGTTACAACTTATCTGTAATTAAGCAAATTAAGTTATTAAAGATAACTGGCGCGAAGGACCGAACCTTCCATGTGAATGCTTTCGAAGATTTGAATACAAGATTGAGGAGTGCTATACAGAAGGTTACCTGTCCTCAAACAGAGGTAGAACCGGCGAAACCAGCTGCGGAAGGTAGGGCAAACAAATCAATATTCAAAAATTTGTCGGTTTATTTTAAGCTTCAGGATCATGCGATGCCAAGTCGAACACAGGCTGCGATCGTGCTTTAAACCTCGTTTGCATGGTAAAGGATGGCAAACCAGCTTGTGTCTGTCCTGAAGGATTTGAAATGCATCCTGTCACAAAGGTGGGTCTCATCTGAAACACAAAATCTAAGGGCACCGGTTACCCAAATTCGAGATTGGCAAGATTCTAATGCAGCACAATAGAGAGGGCCCCTAACTGAGTGGTGGCCCGAGTCCCGCTGCAAAAGATGGTAATCCGGAGCGAAGAGATCGCCTGAGAATGTGCGCACTGCTGGGGTCGCCACGCCCACCAATGTGGGCGATTTAAAAGTATGAGCCCGAAACTAGACTCAGTAGTACTTAGACATGTCGACATTCAAACTTTCAATGTGAAAAAATTATTTTCGACATCTAAGTACTCTGCATCAATTTCGGGCTAATTACTTTCAGACCACCCACGTTGATGGGCGTGACGTCCCCCAGCAGCGTACGCCTTCTGAGGCAGTTTTCTCGCTTCAAAATGCAATTTTTGCAGTGCGACTCGGAAAATCTTACCAACTTCGGTTTTGGGTGGACGATGCCTTGGAGCCACATATGGCACAAAATTCTCTTCAGATCTGCGGTGGCGACGTTTGCAACCCTGAAATTGCCACATCGTGCCCGGACCCAGAGATCTGTGAGAAAACCCCGTATGGAAATTGGCGTTGCTCTTGCCCGGCTGATCTCGGATGGAGAGATCAACATACTGGAGCTTGCAGTAAGTACCGTACATTCTTTAAAGATCGCTGGCATCTTGCCAACCAGAGTTTTCAGAGATTGGCACTCGTCCAGAGCCAACCGCGGAATCCACCGATGAATGCAATCCTTCGCAACAAAATAGCTGCGGACTCAATGCTAAGTGTACTCGAGGACCTGGTGGAGAGTTTGTATGCCAGTGCAAGTCAGTCATACCTTTAACAGTGACGGTCCCCAAAATATTTTTCAGAAGGGGGGGGGGAGGGGAAGGAGAAGAGCGAGAAATCCGCAAATTTTTGGATTAGTTCTCAAATTTTTTGCAAGTTTGTAACACGGAAATCTGAGAAACGGGCCAGGCACTCCCACAGTTTTTTTTATGAAGCTCTTTTTATGAATTTTTTAATTACACTAATACTGCCAAAGCAATATTATGCAACATTTATAACTTGTGTAGACCAACCCTTTGAGACATTTACGGCGTGTTCCTCCCCTCCGCACTCGCCCCGCCCACTTGATCGTATGAATAATTTAAAAAAAAACCTTGAATTTTAGAGACGGCTATGTACGAAATGCCAAATCGGACAAATGCCAATTGCCCGGCACTTGCGATCCATCAATTCCGAATTCCTGCGACGCCAGGAAGAAGGAGGTGTGCTTGCGCGGGTCAAAGTAAGTCCTAGTGTAAATGTCTGATTTTTTTAGATTCAATTTTTTACCGAGGGTCCTCGCAAGACGCTAGGATTTGGTCAAGCTAATAAGTTTTCTAGATATTCTTGTGATACCAGCAGTGTGAAGCCAGCAAATTCTATGCTTTGGGTAAAATTTCTCTCATTCGCGCATTCGCGCACGCGCGCTCTCAAAAAATCGATAATCGTAAACTATCCATTGAAGGGAGCAAATTCGACGCTTCATAGTCGGACACCTCGGTTTTCTCCTCAGTCAATGCTTGCAAAGGTAGTTGAAACAAAAACCTATCCGCAGAAGACAGCCTCTCAAAAAAGGGCGTGGCTAAGGGCGGAGTTGATCAGTGCCGGGCATACCACTCGTGAGAATGCAGAGTGTGACGTCGTAATCAGCTTATCTTCTTATCATATCTCTGATACAATTGTTGCTATTTAATCAATCGATTATCGATTTTTCAGTGGTGAATACACGTGCCAGTGTGACGCCAGCAAATTCTACAAGAGACATCCAGTCACTGAGATTTGTTGTAAGTTGAATCTATCTTTCGAAAAAAATTCCGAACTTTTTCGCGATTTATTTATTGATTTTCAGTGATCGATGAATGCTCTGCGGGAACACATGATTGTGATGCGAATGCTAGATGTACAGATACAGATGAATCGTTTATCTGTACTTGTAATCCAGGATTCCTCGATAAATCGCCAGATCAGACAAGGAAACCGGGACGTGTATGCACACAACGTAAGATTTCCAAAACTCTCTCTCGAAAAAATGGAGAAAAATCTAACAAATTTTAGCCCGTGAAAATTCAAAAAACCTTTTATAGTTCGCAATGAATGCCAAGAAAATCGCCATAATTGCTCTGCAAACGCTGACTGCATCGATCTTGCTGATGGTTTCTTGTGCAGGTAATTTTCAAGAAATATCAGCCCCTATGTGACTTAAGCGTTCTTTTTTAGATGCAAGGAAGGATTTGTAGATGTATCACCAAACATCCAAAAATTTGCCGGATTGGAATGTCGCGCTCTAGTCGATGAATGTGCATCGAAAACTACCAACACATGCCACGAGCATGCAATTTGTATAGGTTTGTTGAATATGAAATTCTATCAATCCGGGGAGAAAAGAGAAAAGAAATCATCTTGAAGACTTAAACAGCCAATTCCCCAAGACACAGCTGACATGATTCATTCGCAGCTAAGAAATTCAAGTCTAAACGCTCGTCCAGTACCGTTTCGGGTCATTCGGCATCCTTGAGTACGGTACTGGGCGAGGGCTTATTGAATTTCTGGTCCGAAATATTTCAACCAACCACTTTTTCACATAAACTCAGATTTGTTGTGCCTGTAACAGTTTTTTTTTACTTATTCCATCATTCCCCTTCTCTACCCACCCTCTGCTTTTTTATTTGTTTTTTTTTGCCTCACAACATGAATTTAGACACTCGTGATGCATATAAATGTCAGTGTAAGGAAGGCTATGTTGACCACGACGAGCTGAGAAATCCAGGACGAGATTGCCGAAAGAGTAAGCTTCATACTTGCGAAATAAAATAAGTTTGTACCCGCTTTCAAGCAGCATGATTCACAACTAGACGCTCGAATTTTTGCAATGAAAAGTCTTTTTTTTTTCGACAAAAATCTTAGTAAGTGCATGAATTTATTAGTATCTAATTTCAGTAAACCAAATTTGCGAGTCTGGTCGTCACGATTGCGATAAGAATGCCCAGTGTATTGAACGAGGAGCCAATGACTACGAATGCGTTTGCAAACCAGGATTTCTCGATAGGAGTCCACTTCCACATAGATCTGGTAAGTAATTGAGACATACCAATAGTGACTGATAAAAGCAAATCCCTCCAGGAAATTCCTTGTTGCGTAAAAAATTTGCAAATTCGAAATCGTAGGAATGAAACTTTGCTTCAATACTTTGAAATAGTGTTTGTGCTGCAAATATGGTCCCAAAATAAGGTCTGCTGATATTGGTACACACTGCCTTGTACGAAAATGCATAAATTGTGTCAGATGTCGGCGCTGGGGTGGAGTGACCAGTGAAGTACAGAGTGTCCCAAAAAAATGTGCCTACTGTTTGATTGTAAATAACTCTCTTGTAATGAAGCATTTCCAGAAGCTTTAGGTACCGTTTTGTAGAGCGAGGTTAAACTTAGATTTACAGTATGGAACGAATCATCTACCGCCCTTCATTATTGTAGAATTACGGTACGAACTTCGACAAGGATTTTAGGCCTTTGGAGGCTATATTCTGCCTCGGAACAGAACCAAACAAGCCAAAAACTCTCATACTACTGTAATTGGAGCCGCTGATTTCGAATTTGAAATTCCCATTTTCCTGTGATGCTTCTTTCCAAAGTTATTCCTGGTAGACCGTAATAATTGAATTCCCAGTACTTGTCAGAAATGTGATTACACCGTCAGAAAACTGAAAACGCTCGTAGAAAGTTATTAGGTGGAATCAGCATGCGCGAAAACCCTAATATACGATTTTTCAGATTTTTTGAAAAAAATTTTGTTAGGTGGTGTATTTCACAATGGTTCCATATGCTGAAAAAGTTCTTACCGTAATCCTACAGTAATGAAGGGCGGTAGATGATTCGTTCCATACTGTAAATCTAAGTTTAACCTCGCTCTACCAAACTGTATCTAAAGCTTCTTAAAAAACTTCATTACAAGAGAGTTATTTACAATCAAACAGTAGGCACATTTTTTTGGGACACCCTGTATGTTTAGTTGGACCTCTTAAATGGATACGTATTGGAGGCTTCGATCAATTGAGACGAAGGCAGCTCAAATAAATCGAGGCTAGAATACAACTTCAGACTCTTCTACCTTATGAGGACTTTCTGGACTTCTTAGCCAATTTTATGGACTGCCTTTTGGGCAGGTGCACTGAGCAAGGCTCTCCAGTTGATACTTACATTAAAAATTTGGATAACCATATTTGCGCGGAGGCTGCCTTCAAAACCTATAAAATCCTGGAAAACTATCATGTTGTTGGGTAATGCAAAAATACCTATTTGCAGGGCGCAAATGTCTTGAACGCATCTGCTTGGACGATAAGAAGCACGATTGTCATGTTGCTGCCGTCTGTGAAGAAATCGACGGTCCCGAAAAGTACACTTGCAAATGCCGTGATGGCTATGTGGACGCCAATAAAAATAAGCCAGGTTGGTCGTAAAGAGAAAATACCATACATGCTTATTTTCCGAAATTATGACTATTATCAGGACGTGACTGCCGTGAGCTCGTCAACGAGTGTCTGGACGCATCGTTGAACGATTGCGATCCGGCCGCTACCTGCAAGGATACCCCTGATGGTTACGAATGTGTCTGCCCTATTGGAAGTCGCGACATCTCCAAGGATCCAGCCAAGCCTGGCAGAAATTGCTTCGGGGTTAGTGTGGATTACTGTGTAAAGCGAGTAATCGCTTGCAGAGACAGGGAACCACCTGCGCGCGTCTCACGGATCAAGTGCGCTTTTACCGTCTGCTGCCTCTTTCAAACACATACTGTCTTAGTCATACACAACTGCGACCAGTCTCTGCGTGCGCTGATTGCGCTGATTCGTCTATATCTTGAATCCATTTCTAATTCATATAATTATTTAGCTCGTGAACGAATGTCTAATGCCTCATTTGAATAACTGCTCACGATTTGCTGATTGTATAGATAAGGAAGAAGGATATGAGTGCAAGTGGGTTTCAAATGCTTTCTTTTTTCTTTTCTTTTCTTTTACCGGGGTGATCCAGTCTGTAACAGGAAACCGTTAATCATCGTCGATTCAGTTTCAACAATCCAATTGGCAAATTCAAATCTGTAGGTTATTTAACGACGCAGAGACAGGGCGATACTGCGGACACTGTCGGCGTCTTTCACATCCAATGCGCTTTTATCCCTCTAGCCGTCTGCTGTTTCCACCAAACATGTACTATCTCATTCGGATGCAGTGGCGTCCAGTTACTGCGTGTGATGAATTGCACAATTTCTTCAAATTTTTTGTTAAGAGCCAAGTGAACTTTTTGTATTCAATAATTTTCCACGCTATCTACTTCTTAGATGTTTTGGCCATTTTGACCTATCTAACGTATAATTTATGATAAATTGTTTACTAATAATCTGTATATGTATATTCCAGATGCAAGAATGATTACCATGACCAGAATCCAGCCAATCCAGGAACAAACTGTAAATTCAGTGAGTTTCAAACAACACGATTGTTGCTTTGCGTTTCGTCTTTTTTAGTGACAAAAATAGTAAAAGATTCTTTGAAAAATTTTTAAAAATTCCTGCATAAGGAAAACGCTTTTTCATTGATCAGGTCAAATTCTTTGATAGAAAGAAATTCGGCAGTCCATTTTACAGTCATCAACGAATGCCTAGCCGAAAATCTGAATGATTGTGATAAACACGCTGAATGCATTGACACGATTGACGGCTACGAATGCAGATGCAAAGCTCCATTTAGAGATGAGATGCCCGAAAGTCCCGGACGAGTATGCAGGTGAGGAAATATATACCGTAGTAAACCGTACCTCACCGTGCTTCAAGACCATAAGCTATATGATCCTCTCTAGATTTAACGAATGTGCCAGACCGGAGGATAACGAATGCGATGAGAATGCTGATTGTATTGACACGGATGATAGCTATATCTGCCAGTGCAAGACAGGATTCTTCGATGAAAATACGGATCCAACAAAGACCGGACGAGTTTGCATTGGTGAGATTTTAAACTGATAAATGGCTCGGCATTAGTGTATATATACTGCATTGAAAAATAGTATGTCCATTTTGATCGCTTATTTTCTAAAGGGGGGAAGAGGCAAAAAGATGCGGCCCTCCAGAATTCATGTTGTTTCTCGAATTTTCAAGAAGTTTCAATGCAAGAATTTTATATGGGCGTGGCTTTTCACATCAGTTGAAATTAAGAATAATGGCTCGCACAATTTCATGATTTTTGTAGATCTTGGCGAGGTGTGGGGGGGGGGGGGGGAAGGGGAAGCTTTGCCTGTACTTGCTTTGCCTGATACTGTACTTACTGCTTGGATTTCGTTTACCGCTCAGCCATCACAAAAATTTTCTTGATTTCTTTCTCTGAATAATAACTTTCTAAGCATTAGGCTTGGTTATCGATCGACCACAAGAAACCGAGAAGACCACCCTATCGCCAAATCTGGTACCATGTGGCAACACCCATTGCAAAGTCGATCTCCATGAGGTAAGCTCCGCCCATTTTTGGCTCATCGGTCATTGGTCGACTGGGCTTGCTCCACCCGTTTTTGTCTCGTCGGTAATTGGTCAGTTAAGCTGTTCTCTTCTAGGTTTGCATTGGTGGTGCAAAATGCGGTTGCCGACCTGGAGAAGCTCGCGCTAGTCCCAGTGATAAGTGTGTACCTGTCACAGAGGTAATTCTGCAAAAAAAATATTAAATGTGGAAAAATAAGCAAAGTCCATTAAGGTCCCCATTGTTATCCGAGTTATCGATTACGATGGTGAACCGCTACAGTACTCCACTGACTACAGTAAGCCTACTAGTCCAGAGCATGTACAGATTGTTGACACTGCTGTAAAAGTGAGTTTTGCCCTACATTACGGTGTCAGCGTCTTGCTACAATACTCCAACGATCTGTAAGAAATCTGTACGCATAACCTTAAAATTCAGGGACTTGGAGAAGTGTTCAAACATACCGACATCGCACCACGTTACGTTACTACTGATGTAAATTTCATCACAAATCCAAAGGTTGAAAATAGGTAGGGCTTAATCAACAATTTACCCCTCCCCCCCCCCCCCCCCCCCCACCTTCAACCTTCACCCTTAACATAGTAAAGAAATGAAAAATTTCATAACGAGCAGGGATTTTTATGATTTTCAAGAAATTTTCATTCCCAGATGCACTTTAAACGTGTTTCTCTCTCGCTCTTCTCTCTCTCTCTCTCTCTCTCCCTCTCCTCTCACTCCCGCGCTTTTTTGGATTCTTTTGATAATGATTATTATTGCAGCACCTGGGATCGTGGACTTTTGATAAACGGATCGGTGAAACTATCAGGATCAGAAGATGCTGACAAATGCAAATTGTTCAAACAATTCGTTGATAGGGTACGTGCATGCACGCGTCGGAGCATGCAACGCGGCCACGCCCATTTTTGTTAATTCAGTGAAGCTCTCAGTGAATGTGAACTAATCCCTTTCTAGGTAAACTCGGCTGGAGGACAAATTGACCGATTAAAAGTGGCCGACGACATTGCTCTACTTGATCCTTGCAGGTACCATAGTAATCAACCGTGACTCTACAGAACTTAAGCCGATCTATTCCAGAGTGGAAGATCAAAGAACTTACGGGATCGCTTGCGGCACCTCATTCTGTAATGAAGCGCTCGGTGAAGAATGTATTGCTGGAAAACTCTGCGGTTGTCCTAAGGGACAGAAACGAAAGGACGCTCAAAGTCCTTGCCGAGTAGTTAGTTGTCCGGATTACTGTACTGATACTGTAGATTTGATGAGCATCGAATTTAGGTGGAGTCCTTCAACCTGCCGCTGTATGTGATTCGTGATGACGACAAAGAAATCAGATTCACACCGAATATCGCTAATCCTAGAGATGAGCAACATAGAAATCTTGTGGGAAGGTAAGTGCTGGGAGTGCAAAGGCATTGGGGCAAATCTAATAACTGGGTTTGTTATGGGGGAACCAATAAGAAGATCTAAGCAAGCTATTATCCAAACGGCAGATCATATTATTTATTCGTGGCCGAGAAATTCAACTTTAAACTCTCGCCCAGTACTGTACCATACAAACCAATCAGCCCTCGAGTGGCTAAAATGCCTAACGACGAGAGATAAAACAATATGGTTTCTCAAAGGGTAAAGTATTGCTCCGCATGGCTTTCCTAATTTGGCTGAAACGTCTAGTGGAAGAAAAGAATAAAAAGCTACTATCACTAGCAAAGAAAAGTGGGCACTTTGGCACACTATACTTACCGTATGCTTCCCAATCCAGCCGCGACTCTGGAGGGGTGTTGCATGGCATCGCCCAAGTGATTCAAAAAATGGTTTTCTTGTGAACAGCCTTTCTTGGCCGATAGACACCATTTTGTACATCATAGACACCGTATACTGTAGTGGAACAAAAGTGCTGTTCGAATCTCTGAGAGTCTCGAAGCGATTCTAAACTTGTCTATTCTCTGCTGAATTGCGCTTCATACCGAGAAACACCTATTATTTGATATTTGTATATTATTACCGCCTTCTAAAAAGACTAAAACATTTCAGATTCGAGACGGGAGTTGCTGAAAGTTATAACAACACTCCACTGCAAAGCGGATTCATCACAGCAGAAGTAAATGACATCGAAGAACCATCGGCCCGAAACGCGGTTAGTCTAAATTTTATGGAATACTGTAGATACCATACTCATAGATTCGTTGTCGGAAATTTCAAAGTAAGACTAGAGGGACGACTTGTTTATTTGCAAAATAAAAAATCCAAAAACTTGAAGTACCTATGTAAATGAGGATGTTAAGTCCTATGGAGAACTTCATTTCTTATGTTTCAGTAATCAGCTCTCTATATTTAGTCCTGGAAACCTGGAATCCTATACAATTTCACGTCACATTTCGTCCGTGGATCTGTTGGTGAACCATCTACCGTATTCACTGAGCTGATTAACTTCATCAAGCACAAAAATGATCATGAGGTTGGCAATTTTTTACTTTTTGCACAAAATATTGCCTTCTATCATAAAGAAGAAGAATCCAAATGTTATATCTTTAGGTCGGCACATCCAAGCTTTACATCTCACCTTATCAACTGAATCCATTCTCATCATGCTATGCCAGTGACTGCCACCCAAATGCTATCTGTACCCCGGTTGGAAAGGGATACACGTGAGTGCTGGGAGGACCATTGTCATTATTAAAAAGTTGCAATAGAGACAATCACAGTATCAGGTTGTATGGTTTTGAGATTCTTTTTTCAAAAGGAAAATTCAATACAAACTCAACGTTTCCCTGTTGAATTCTTGCTAAGACTATTAGAAGATTACTGTAGCTTTGCCGTAACTGTAGAGTAGCTGAATTAGGGTATACTAAAAGCTGCTTGAAGTTATAGTGACTTCTGCACCAACCTCTCTTTTTAGTAGGAATGGGTTAGTGTAGGTGTGAAGATTACTACCGATTACAGTACTAGACAACTTGCAAATACCCATCCCACCATTTTTACAGTAGGCGCGCGGAGTTATTTCAGCAACTCACAACTGCGAAAAATCTTGCTCAAATATAGTAATATGCAAATAGAACTTTTCAATGTTTTCGTTTTGGCAAAAGTTCCTTTGGTTACAGTAATTTAATGAAATACGCGATTGCTACCGTAATCCTACCGTAATTCCACAGTAGCGTCCGCGGAATGAGTACAGTAGCGCAAAATCGCGAATCTTCCATATACTTCTATGACAGTAGCTTTTTTGATTGTTTTTGGAGGGCGTAGAAATTATCCGTTACTCCAAGTAGGCCAAAACATACGTGTTTACTACTACCGTAATTCTACCATATTCCTACAGTACGAGCACATCAAAGGTTTATTTTTCTAAATCACGAAAAGCTTTCAGTTATTATGTAGTTTAGTTGCGCTTGTCCATCCGGCTATCGTGATCTCGATCCTGCTCATCCTGGACGAAAATGTCTTTCATATGTTGGAGTAAACGAATGTGAAAAGCCGGAGCTGAACGAGTGCTCTCCAGATGCTCGTTGTATCGATCTCGATTATCTGTATAAGTAAGTCTTGCCCCCTATACATTTTTTTCAGTTTGGCTTTTTCGAAGAAAACAATCCAATAAATGTTTTATAGATGCGAATGTGTTCCCCCATATGTAAACGCAGCACCTGAAGGAGCTATCCCTGGATCAGTGTGCACCATTGACTACTGTTCGGATGTTCACTTCTGTCCGATAAATTCCACTTGTAAAAATGTTGATGACCAGGTAGAAAATGGATCAAAAAGAAGTTTCTGAAATCAACTTTTTATATTTTAGGCAAGATGCGATTGCAATCCTGGTTTTGTAGATCTGAGAAAATCTGATAGGTTGTCCGAGGTAGGCAAGATTCTCATCTTTCATTTTTATGGTCCTTGTACATTCTGAATTCCGAGAAATTTTTGGTCAGAAACTGGCTAATCAATTCCATAAAGTTTTCTTTGAGCGATGATCGTAAAAAAAGATTCCTAGGGCAAGTAGGGCCGTTTTCCAGGTAGTTCAGAAGAATTTGAAGAGAGTTGACTGTGTGAAAATAGGAATTTTTTATAAATATCGAGCAGGCAGCTAGGCATGATATTTTTGATTTATTCTTTTTAAAACTATTTGGAATTTGACATTTCTAAAAAAATTATTTCAAAGTGAAGAGCTCAAAGAATGACATTTGGTAGCTTTGAAAAGGGTTTCATGAAAAATATTGTAATTTCCCGTTTCAGGCTGGTCTGGGTGATACGATCTGCCTACGTCACTCAGATGTCAACGAATGCGCTCTGGGGCTACACAATTGCAGTGCGGCCGCGATTTGTACTGATACTAAAACCGGTTACGATTGTCGATGCCCTGAAGGGTATTTCAAAAAAAAAATTAATTTCCTGATTACTTTCCAAATATACGGCTATCTTCAGCTACACCGACGGTAATCCATCGGAGCCTGGACGAGTCTGCGCAGCTTTGCTCTGCGGTTTGTGTAATGGACATGGAGATTGTATACATGATAGCGTCACGAATAATGTCACTTGCTCATGTGTTGATGGCTACTCGGGACAATTTTGCGAGGTAAGGAGCCACATTTCAACAGGGCGAGAACTGGTCCCCGGAAATCAGCAATAGGCTGACTACATCTTGGTACGAAGATGGCGAGTTCTGGGTTTAATCAAAATGCGCAATTATCGGAATGTGGACAGACGAAAAGTGGTCCCCAGAACTCCAGTGATATGTAGCACAAGTGATAGGTCAAAAAATCTTAGTTTAAGTCTTGGTTGATCACACTGTTGTCGAGTTCTCGAGGATTTTAGATACCAGTTTTTCGCTCGAAAAAAAATCATAACGGCCAGTGAAATTAGACACTTTTGATATTCTAGTAGGCATACAGGAATGTTCTAAAGGTGTCAAAAAAAACTCTCAAAAGCGTGAATTTTGCAGTGCATACAGTCTATTGCTCTGGAGATCATTGCCTCTTGAGAGGCTGCAGACAAGAGAGAAAATGTGCGAAATCGGGGACAGTTCTCGCTTTGCAGCGAATAATTAGTAGTTATGTAACTGCAAATCATGTCCTTCTTTTTAGCTTGCTCCATCGAATGCTGGTCTCATTCTGATGACCATTCTCGCTCTGCTTTTCCTTCTTTTGACTCTGCTATGCTGCCTTTACCTATGCGCCAGATGCCGGTAAGTGATTTTTTATCTTAAGTAATAGGCCTTTATTGATTTTAGCACTTTTTTTAGCTGCTTCGGTGGACGAGGTGTTAGTGAAGGAAGCGCAAGTGGACGAGAAATACTTGGTTCTGACTATTACACAATTCCTCGCGCTAAGCTCAAGCCTGGATACGGCGGGGTAGGTTCAGCAGACCTTATTTTCTCAAGTTTTGCGTTTTAGCGAGAATTGCAGGATGAAGTGATGGCTCAAGAGCATGCTGGTGCCCTGGGTGCTTATCTGGACGATGGTGCGTCGATTTCCTCTGGCGGTTCGTTGGAAGAAGTTGAACGGCGGGTTACCACCGATGTGACGACGCGCGAGATTCGCACCACTACAGTACGCGACGAGATGGGTAATGTGGTTAGTCAGAGCCAGGTATGGTAGACAACACAAGTGATTACGGTAGTTGGCTTAAAATGACCCCTAATTTAGACCGTGTCCCATGGTGGACCGCTGGAGACAGACACAGAGCAGTACGCCATGACATCGTCTGATCACTTCCGCCATGCCAGTTCGGCTGGCGCAGCAGCTGCTGGAGGAGCTGTTATGGGAAGTGCAATGGCTGCTGGAGGGCATATGAGAGAGGGCTCGGTAAGATTTCAGAGATTTACGCCCAAGATAGAGGATTAGAGTGGAAAAAAGGGTAATGCCATTGGGCGCCGACTTCACGGACAACTGGTCCTTTTGTATGTATTGTTGCATGCGGTGTGAGGACCAGTAGTCCGTGTAGGTGGAGCCACTCCTGATTTTCACCCGGGAGATCTTCTTTCTGAATAAAACTTGATAGAATAACAACCACCACCATTGAGCGCCCCCTCCGCGGACTACTAATCATTCCGTACGTGCTGTTGCATACTACTTGAGGGCCAGTAGTCCATGGAGGCGGAGCTTGAAGACGCCGTTCGTTTATCCAGGGATATCCCTTAGAATTACGGGATCTAGGTAGAACAACGGACACCACCATTAGATGCCGCTTTCTCGGACAACTGCTCCTTTTGTTACTGCTGTTGCATGTCGCGTGAGGACCAGCATAGTCCTCGAAGGTGGCGCCCTGGAGCGGCCGTTTTCTTAGCAGAGGGACCTACTCTAGAAAATTGTAGGATCTAGCTCGAAAAACAAACCCTATTGTTGGGCGCCGTCTGCGCGGACAACTGTTCCTTTCATGCGCAGTTTGCATGTAGCATGAGGACCAGTGGTCCGCGGAGGCGGAGCTTAGTTGATAACCTTTCGTCCCTCTAAGCGGGTAATCTGCTCGAAAACACATCCAAATCTCTTATTTTTTCTAGCGCGGTGACATGTACGAGTCGGACTCAGAGGCATCCGATGCCGGTCGCGCCACGTACGATCGTGTGACGCGAGTCGCGCAATCGCACGATTTCATGCCAAGTAGCGACCCACGATTAGGCACCGAGCGACGACGAAACGAAGTGCTCACAACGACCACGGCAGAAGAAGTGAACTACTTCTAAATGCATATCTTTGTTGTTTTGCCATCCTTGCTATGCGCTCATTGTCAATTGTCATTTGCTGCCAGTCATTTGTCATTTTATTACATGTCACTTGTCACACATTTAGCGCTTATTACATACTAGTACTTCTGTTTGCATTCCACAGTGTAGAAAATTCCCCCTGAGAAAATCTCTAGCAAAACTTTTCCTCTTGCCCCAAATTTATGATCTTTCAGTTATAGTATTTTCCATTTGAGACCCTATTTATGCCCTGCATACTGTAACTGCCCAATCCTTTGCATCGGTGCTCGACTAACTTGCCTTCTCTTATCAGTCACTTACTACTTAATCAAACCAATTGTTGATCTGATTTGCATGTCACTTAGTTTCACTAGCTTGTAAGTATTTTTTGTTATTTTGTCGTAGAGATAGTGTAAGAGTGAAAAATGACTAGAAATATGTGTGCGAATTGAGAATTTACCATTGAACCTGCCGTTCGAGTCACTTTCGCCATTATGCTCATGTTATATTATATATTGATTGCATTTTGAAATGAATATCATATGGAGGTTTTTAATGTCGCTTACAATTTGATTTCTGGGAAGGGAGGAGCGGTCTTCCGCTTTGTGTGAGAGGAAGCGAGCATGGCATTTACAAAAAACTGAGAGTACAAAAAATCTGCAGCGAATTTCACTCCAAACAAAGCGAATTATTTCCTAGTGTTGTGTTTAGACTTGTAGCGTTTAAGCCGTGCCAGAGCATTGATCGATCATTGCATGGCTTCCACTAGGATCCTGGCACGGCACGGCGCACGAGCAACACTGAAAGCTTAGAAATCGCTACAATCGATTATATTTGGAATAACGCTTCAAGCCTACCTTTCTTGAAATTGTAGGAGTTGATGTATCGTCGACTCTAAAAATCGTGACGACGGTCTGCAGTGCGGCCAGTGCGCGCCGCACGGCACTGCCGCTTTATCGTAGGGCAATCTTGCTTCTCTGCAGTGTAGGCTCCCTGCGGTAGCCATGGAAGTTCCTGCAAGCAAAAAAGATGCAAAAAGAAAAAGAAAAACCACAAGAACTCACCTTCTCCACGTAATTTGGGCGAATCACTAGGTGGCAGTGCCGTGCGGCGCGCACTGGCCGCACTGCAGACCGTCGTCACGATTTTTAGAGTCGACGATACTTCGGGAGGGTATTGGGAGGGGGGGGGGGGGGACTGGCGCAGTGGTACGAGGTGCCACCATGACCAGGTCGGACCAAGGTCCGACTCCGCCCCTAGATCAATCCCAGCCCACCCAAGCATAGTAATCCCGTACCGGTGTAGTCCAAAAGGATAAAAGCACCAATCCGATATACTGAGGGCTCCAGTAAGTGCCCATAAAGGCTAGCAGTATTTGGCAACCTTCAGTAGTGGACTTTAAAATTTTTTATATTTTCCGGTATACTCCAATCAGATCTTTGTTTGTTTCATAACTATAAGTTGGTTTTTTTCATAACGGCACAAGCTTATGTGAAACTAGCTGGCTTGCCCGGCTCCGCCGGGCCTGCCAGCTAGACCCGTGTACGTATGTTCCGAATAGAAATTTTTATTTCTGAACCGATTGGGACCGAACTTTGCACACATACACTTCGGGGCTGGGAGCATGTCACAGTCCACTTTTCGTTATCGATCGATGTCGACTTTACCGATTTTTTGCAAAATTTGAGCTAGGGGGCTAGGATTTTGCACAGGGGGGTAATCGAGCATGCTGATCACCCCCTTCGGGGTGATCAGCATGCTCGATTACCCCCCTCTGCCAAATCCCAGCCCTCTAGCTCGAATTTTGCAAAAAATCGGTAAAGTCGACATCGATCGATAACGAAAAGTGGACTGTGACACGCTCCCTGCCCCGAAGTATATGTGTGCCAAGTTTGGTCCCGATCGGTTCAGAAATAAAAATTTCTATTCCGCACATACGTACAGACAGACAGACAGACATACAGACAGACAGACAGACAGACATTCAGCTTTATATATAAGATTGAAATGTTACGTAATACGAGCGAATAGAAAGGGCGTTAACGAAAAACTGCAGTAAGAATTTAAAAAAAGGACAATTCTAAATTTTCTTTTTTGGGGCTATTGATAGACCTTAAAGTCGCAAATTAGATAAATTTGCAACTCCCCTGCGCCGAATGGATGTCCATGCAAAAAGTTTCAACAGGATGTCCTATCCTAATGCTAACGAAAATGAGCGGAACCTTGGCGATTCTTTCAGAAACTTTTGGGATACATCCCCAGCGGATAGCCAAGTAGCGTCAACTTCTCGTTCTATATTCGAAAAAGACGATTAAATGTGCAGCAATTTAAGGATATCCACCCCGAACAGCTTGAAAAAGAATGCAATTATTTGCACTTGAATGCTGCTGACCAAGAACTCAGACAAATGATGTCATAGCTCTGGAGGACGGTCGAAATCTGGCAGAGCTGCGGAGGGCCCAATTGACCATTGAGAGCGGGGCGAGGAGGCGGCCCCTTTCTGTGACGTCACGGTGACGTCACAAGAAGGCAGATGGGATCCCTCCGGCGGGCTTGCAAATCTCTGCTCCGGAGGTACGCCAGATTTGGGAGAACCCAGGAGCACAGATTTGCGCTCCGGAGGTACGCCAGATTTGGGACACCTCCGAAGCACAACTTGGGAGGGCTCCGGAGCACAAAATGGGAGGGCTCCGGAGCACGAGTGGCAAACCCCCGCTGGGCAGACCCCGCGGCCCTGCCATTTCTGCTCCGGAGGTATCCCTTCGACTGTTTGAGAAAGTAAATGCGATAAATTTTGGGTTTTGTGCGCGGGTGTTTGAAATTGTGTGAAAATTCAGTCGATAAGTTTAAGAGCCGAAATTTATCTTAATTGAAAAGCGCATGAAAGGCTTTTGGAAGGTATGCGAAACGTTTATTGAAAAAGCAAATACGACGGAAGATCGTTGTATGAATAAATGACTTGCAAAAACACGCACTAACTCTGCACCAAACCCAATACATGAATTTCAGATGGAAATGATTCAAAAAAGATATTTCTATACGTCCCCAAACACATGGAGGGTGAAAATAATATCGCCCAGGCAAGCTCCGCCTTCTCGTCAGGTCCCGCCTAACCAAGGTTTACTCTTTGACGCGTCCTGACATGGTCAGCACTCTCACATACAAACTTTGTAATTTCCAGAAACGGTTTTCACGTATTTTGCAAATCATATTACAAATAGGGCCACGGAAAGAAATGACAAAACATGAAACCGAAAATCTGAGAGTGGGCGCTGCTTTTAGGCATAATTTGGGTTCATATTGGACTTAAAAGAAAACCCCCCTCAATAGCCGCTAAATTCCGCAACAAAAATGCTACCATTACTGATTCTTTGTTTTTGAAATGTCAAAGCAAATATAGTAATGAAATTTATATGATCAGCTCTATACATACATAGTCAATATGATCATAGCATCAACAACATTACATGAACAACAACAAGTAACAATGAGCAATAACCAGCAGTTCTAAGCAGTGATTTGGAAGTAAAAAAATCAACAACTCAAAAATAAACAAGATCTACGCAATCGCATTTTGTATGGCATTCAACACACGCGATGGTGACTTTCCACATGTCTATAATGTGTGAATTATCGCCTTGCAAGGTAAATAAAGGAAAATACTGAGTATCGATACCTGTTGACATGCTGCGTTAATTTTCTTAGCGATCATGTTCCATTTCGATTCATCCTCAGTCAACGAGTCTAACGACAAATGTTTCTGCAGCGTCGGCTGCAAACAAAAAGCTTCTATATAAATTTGCTCAAATGAAGATTGGTGATAGGCCACTTATTGAATAGAATTCAGTTTACTAAGTCTAGCCTAAGATGTGACTTCGGATAACAAAAGGAATATTAATAAATACAAAAAATTTTGAATCTTGTGTAAGCTAATGTTCTGTTGTAAACACATACCTTGAGTTCATCGCTGATGCTAGTCGCAGTGGACAAAATCAGTTTCAACACGCTTGCAAAATAGCGAGGTTTGATCTAAAACAAAAAACCACACATTTAAATTAAAGCAAAAATATCTAAAATATATATTTGAAAACAAAATAAAAAATCTAGAGAAATACATCACCTGAATGCCAATGCATAATAAAAGAACTAGAATGAACTTATCAAGATTGGTCAGATAAGGGAGATTACTCACCGTATTCGGCTCAGCAACGGAAGCATTCAGATACTCAGTGCAAGACTTCCCAATACCTTTCACAACAGACTTTTCCGCAGAAATTTTATGTTGAACAGCCTTTGTCATCATTCCAGCAAGACATAACACAGCTTCTGTCTGGAAAGAAAATACGATTTATGACAATTTTTTCCATCCAATATATCAGCACAAACATACCCTGCGGAATATTCGATACTCAGCATTGAAACCAGCCTTCAGGAAGATTTTCGCTTTCGGAACGAATACTTCCTAGAAAAAAGGGTAAACTCGATGGCATTCACTTGACCCCGAATTTGCTTCCAGATTTGTCCGTGCCAGCACCGTGCCAGTGCCGTGCCAGAAAATCGACCAATCAATAGTGAGTCCACGTGCCTCCGGCACGATGCTGGCACTAAGCAATTCCGGACGCTCAATGAAAAATTGTTACCGGATGCTTGACGACAGCTGCAATTGCTAGTTCACATCCTATTAAGCCTTCTTCTTGGCTCATAAAGCGTTCAAAAAGCCCCACAAAAGCGTTCAAAACTACTTCTGAGCATGTGCCTTCGGAAGATATGCCCAGTGAGCACTAAAATTCATTTTTATATAATTCTACCGAAAGTGGCAAATCCACCCGATCACGAAACTCACTATGAATGACGAGATAGAGGCAACAGCCGAGATCAGCGTAGGATTCGCAATTCCGGTACCCTCTTGGATAAGCTGGTCAAGAAGGCTCACAACTTCTTCGTCAGGAAGATGGGCCTAAATTGATTTCGAGAGAATTTTTTTGAATCAGTGGAAAATGACAAATTGTGCTTTTGAGCAAAAAAAGCGATTTCCTTGAGATTTTTCTAAAATATTAGGTCATTCCGTAAGTAATTTCGCTTTTTTAAAAAGGGCGCCACATTTGATGGAAGAAAGGTTTCTAAAAGATCTTGGAAGCGTTCGATGCAGAATTACATTCTCTTTCTAAAGGTTATGAAAGTGTTGCAAAACAGTCAATGAGCTTTCAGAAAATAACCAAAATCTGCGACCCATGCTTTTTTAGATGGTCAAGTTTCACGATCTTTTCCAACTTCTATATCAGTCCTCAGAAGGAGTTCAAGTAACGGTTCGATAGAGTAAACCTTACAGAATACAGCGTTACTTTTCCACTTTCTCGCAGCTCGCCGTAATTTTTTAAAAGATCTTTTAACAGAACCATCGGATTTTGGCAGGCCCACCTCAGCCACAATCGCAGCAAACATCATAATTTTTCGGAATTTGAGACTACCAAGACTGTACTATGAGTTAGCACTAACTTTACAAAGCAAGTGAGGGTTTACGGGTTCGAAATATCAAATTTCGAGTTTTTTGGGTACAGCCTGGGGCTCGCTTAAAAAATGAGTTATGATGATTTCTCCCCGGAAACTAAACGAATCGGAAACAAAAAACACCCATTAGAAAGAGGAGAAAATGCCGCATCGAATAGTGCGCGAGCTGCCTTTCTTTTGATGTTCTACGAGAATTTGGCTGCTCAAGTATGGAAATCGGTGGCATCACTTAAAATTTTGTTAAAAAAGTATGACAAGCCATGGAAAGGAGAAAAAAGAAGCACTGTATCCTGTAAGGTTTACTCTATCGAATCGTTACTTGAGCTCCTTCTGAGGATTGATATGAAAGTTTTAAAAAATCGTGAAACTTGTCCATCTAAAAAAGCATGGGTCGCAGATTTTGGTTATTTTCTGAAAGCTCATTGACTGTTATGCAACACTTTCATAACCGTTAGAAAGAGAATGAAATGGTGCATGGAATGCATCCAAGATCTCTTAGAAAGCTTTGTTCCATCAAATGTGGCGCCCGTTTGAAAAAAGCGAAATTACTTTCGGAATGACCTAATATAAAGCTAAATGGATACTGTCAATTTTTCACAACTTGAAAAAAAGTGATACAATGTTTAAAGAAAAAACAAAAAATGGTACGGAGAAAACGAAACGATTTCCAAAAGTAGCAGAAGAATGTGCTGCTAACGAAGAATATTATAAAAAAACTAAGGTTGAACTAACTAACAAGGGAAGTCACTTAACTTAGGTCGGGCTTTTGAAATGAGACACATATGGTTGGGATCAGCCTGAAACGCTGATTTCAAATCTGCTTTCCTTAGCTGCGAAGCGTTCCTCTGAAGCGAGTTATGAGCTTTTTCCTGAGCAAATTTTGCGTGTTGACCGACTTAGGCATGCTACGGTATCATCATCTAGGTAGTGGTTCAAATGCATATTATACCCTATCAAAGCCAAATGACTCAATTTGATGTTATTTTGATTTTGCACCACTTTTTGGGCAGATTTTCATCCAAAGACCTTCTTTCCATATTCAGTTGTATGTCAATGACACATACTAGAAAAACTCATAACTCGCTTCAGAGAAACGCTTCGCAGCTAAGGATAGCATATTTGGAATCAGCGTTCAGAGCTGATTTTAGATTTATGTGTCTCATCTCAAAAGCCCGACCTAAGTTAAGTGACTTCCCTTGTAAGAAGATGGATTCCAAAAAAAAACGATTACTGTCATAAGAGGCATACATTGAAGGTTTTTCAAACTACAACAGACTCACCTTCTTCAACTTCGCGATAATATTCAACAACCCAATAGTTTTTCTCGAATTATGACCTTCAGCATCTTCTTTCAATTGTTGTTTAGCTAATTTCAACAACGGTATCATCATATGCTGAAAACTCATTATATTTCTAGAGATAACCGAGGCGTAAAAATGAAAACAACGAAAAATTATTGACTTACCACTTTTACGGACAAAGGTGTACTTTGTGATGATAGCGTAAACAACAACAAGTCTGCAAGCTTCAATCGGAAGGCAGATGCCATGTGCGAGGCTAATTTACTAAATGTAGAAACTGAGCTCATGCAAGGTTTATATCAGTCTCCGTACTTTTCCTTTTTGGGAGCCATTGCTTTGAAAGCTGCCGCCAATCGGTCATCCATTGCAAACATCTCCGCATCGTCAACGTCTGAAGCGTCGCTCTAAAATCCTAATAAATTTGAACGAAAATAACAAACTATTTATTTTTGCAGTAAAGAATCAAGGTTCTGCGCATTTTTTGAGAAGGTTGTTGCAAGAACTGTAGGTGCAAATTTTTGTTGGAAAAAATTAAAGTTATTTTAGTGTCCACTATGAAGATTTCCTCAAAAATGCTGGAAAAAGACTTGTGGGTGTACTTTTTGAAATACTTATTACATTTTTACTACTCTTTTTTTTAACGACATTATATTACTATCCCTTTTTATACTACTTTCTAATTCAATTCGTGATAATTCAAATTATTTTATTCTTCAGGATTTACAGTAAATTGTGGGCTAGAGTAGGCTAGTCTTTGCGCTGCTGACAACATTTGCGCGTAAAAAATGGTCATGCCACGCAAAGCGTGCACCTATGTGCTATGGCGACTTTTTCCGCGCATGTGTTGTTGCCACCGCAGAAGCATCACTTAAAATCCCCAAAACTATATACCTCTTCTTCATCTATAGCATCAGCTTTTCGTTTCACTGCTGCTTTTCCAAGTGCACTTTCTAAACGACTGATTGTTGTCGGGTCGATATCCTGCAGAAAGATTTATTGCAATGGAATAAGCAGATTGCAATCTTACATCCTCATCATCCATAGAACTTTCAGACTCGCTTTCACTTGCTTCTTCCATCTCTGAAAGAAGAAAAATAAGAGGATAATGGAAAAAGTTCATTACAGGAGAGGAAATTTCAGCCTAATAATTTCAGTCAGCTGATGAATGTAAGATATAGTCTAAAAAAGACTATATCTCACCTTCATCTTCGTCTGATGTCTTCTCCTCGCTTTCCTCTTCATCAGCCAACTCTTCATCATCCATGGATAAAGTCTAAAAAATAGATAAGTAGAAAATGATGATGGAAGGATAAACGATGGAAAAGAGAACCTTACTTCGATTATGTGCGCAACATGCTCTTCCTTGATGTGCGGTAACAGATTGACATATACATAGTAGATTACGGTACGATGATATTTCTGTGGTTGACTAAGAAGAGAGAGAAGCTGATCTAATAAAACCTGAAGCAACATCCAGAGCATGTTTAAAAGAGATTAATCTTTCAGCCCACCTTTACGCCCTCTTCGCCTGCCTTCACAATCGCTCGCAACTCTTCGGCATTATTCTGGTATCCTTCGCTCATTTGTTCCGTAGACGCAATTTTCGACCATAGTTTCAAACACATCCAATACACCGGGAGGACACTGTAAGCAGACACACGATAAAGGCTTACTGTAGCATTTCGGCACAATATACAGTTGCGAATTGATTGCATATTACGGTATCAGACTAAGATTCGCAGATAGGATATAATTATATGGTGATTTACAGGGTGCCCCAGAAAAAATATGTCTACTCTCCGATTGTCAAAAACTCTTTTGTCATGTAGTCTTCCTCGAAGATTTATCCAACGTTTTGTAGAGCTTGGTTCGACTTAGATCTACAGTTTGGGGAATAATACCGATCTCTCTTCATTACTGTAGGATTACGGTAGAAACTTTGAGGAGGGTCTGGCGTTATTGAGGGTCGTATTTTACCCCTAAAAAATAATTGAAGATGCTAAACCTCTATACTAGGTCAATCGGAGTCGCTGATTATGAATATGCTTTACCGTAACGCGTTTCTCATAAGTTATGCCAGATATACCGTAACAACCGATTTCTGATACTCGTCGAAAGTTTGATTACGCCATTTAAAAAGCTCTGCAAACGCGCAAAAAGTCATGTAGAGAAATCAGCATGCATGGAAACCATGTACACAATTTTCCAGGTTTATTTGAAATCTTTTTTAAAAACGGCCTAAGTCACAGTGGCGCCATAATGCTGCGAGTTCATACCATAACTCTACAGTAAAAGAGAGATCGGCACTTCTCTCCATACCGCAATTCTAATTGTAAGTTGAAGCCAGCTTTACAAAAAGATACCTAAATCATCTCAAAAGATTCTAAAACAAGCGAGTCTTTGACAATCAAACAGCAGGCACATTTTTCGGACACCCTGTATTTGTAAGATGGACACACTTCATAGGCATCCATTTTTATGGAGTTCGACAAAACTATTCATATTCCTGTTTCCGTTCATTTATGTTACCCGTAGAGTGCAAAGATTACAATTTTTCATAGAACACATAACAATTTATGTTTCTTTTTCCCTATTCTGGTTTCAAAATAATAACTAGCTTGTGTTGGCAGTGACTATAAGAAAATACTGCAAACTGATTCCAATTTCATCACTGTAATTCGAAAATAAGGTTTGGAAGTTTAAGGTTTGGAACAAAAAATTCATTTGCGAATCTCTTTCAACAAAATCGAGAATCGCAAACAATTTTGATGCTTCAGAAAAACAATATTGCCTATTATGCGGAAACCAAAAAAGAAACCTCATTTACCTCTTGTAAACCGGACTGGCATTCATTTTCTTCAGCGCACTCTTCACCGCATCTTTACCAAATAAGGAATCTGTAGCGTTCCTTAGCACTTCTTCACCTCCTTCTATCAACAAAACGCTAACAAGTTCGCCGGCTCTGACCTAAACTAGAGATTCGAGACAATTCCTTAGATTTTCTGTGTAAAAATTTAACCTTTATTTTGAACAGCGAATCTATACAGTTCCCAACAGTGTACTGGATATCTTCTGACTCTGGTCGCTTTATCAACTCTGTCAAAGCTTCCACTTTTGCTTCAGTGCTCCATTGGCTAAAAGCAGCGGTAACATGACGTAAAGACCATCGCTTATCGGCAGTCTAGAAGCAAAAGTGGGCCTTCTAATTTGGCAATAAAAATCAAGAAATAATACCTGAATCCATTTAGAAACTCCTTCTTGACTTAGCCGACCAGCCAAATGGTCAACGAGGTTAGCACCAGTCAGTATGTCAAAGCTTTCAGTAACATCAAGTGTACTGATCAGTTCCAGCAGCTTTGTATCGTCGGGTTTCAACGAATTCAGATATTCTTCAGTGAACTTGCAAAACTCAGTGATCTGCAATGTTTTCAGATGAGTACCACTGCTAAGTGAGATAAGATAAATATTAGGTTGTCCCGAAAATTCATTCGCACCATTTTCAAAAATTCATAACTCTTCAATTTTTGACGAATTTGTACGATCAAAATTTTAGTCAAGAGACGAACTCATGGCTCTTTGCAACAGTACCTGAAGTTTTCGTTATTGTGTACAAATGAAGGAGATGGAAGCTCAAAACCAAAATCACTCAAAATTCGAATTTTTCGTGTAAGGTCATAAAAAATCGAAAACTTGCAACAAAAATCGGAGCAGTTGGTATTGTAGGTTCTTTCAATAGCTCTTTCTAACTATGCAAATTTGCGCTGATTGAGCGTCTCTATGAAAAGTTATGGTTTTCGAGCAAGCAATACAAAAGGGCGATTTTGATTTATTTTGGCGTTTTTCAGATAAATCATAACTTTTTATAGAGACGCTCAATCAGCACAAACTTCCGGGGAGAGTTCTGAGCTCCTTTACTCCGTCTAAGGAAAGGAACGAAACGGAGTATTCCAAAGAACCTTTTTTTCTTTTATTTGTATTGTTGGAAAGAGCTGGTGAAAGAACCTACAATACCGACTGCTCCGATTTTTGTTGCAAGTTTCTGATTTTTTATAACCCTACACGAGTTTTGAGCTTCCATCTCCTTCATTTGCGTACAATAACGAAAACTTCAGCTACTGTTTCAAAGAGCATGAGTTCCTCTCCTAAACAAAATTTTGATCGTACAAATTCGTCAAAAATTTGAAGAGTCATGAATTTTTGAAAATGGTGCGAACGAACTTTCCGGACAACCTAATAATTATGTATAATTTGCCACAAAATCAGCTACAAAGAGAAGACGCCAAGCAATCACAGTAGCCAGCAGTTATCTAATTTGACGAAGAAAATTCAAAAAACCATGGATAAAATAGATAAATATAGATATTTATGAATAATAGATAAAAGTATATGCCCAAGGCTTACCCCGAAGATCTACACAATTTCCGGTCAAGACAAATTGACTTTTTAAAAGACTAGAATTTTTTCCTAGCAGCAGAGTAATATAGGATGGAGAAAAGGAAAAGGTGGAACTGCAGTAAAACGCATTCTCAAAGGAGCCCCCCCCCCCTTCAGTCCAAATCGGTATTCTCAGACGTGATTCACATAAATTTTGGAGCATGTTTTCTTATTCGCAAACAATATTCGTGGATAAAAATCAACTTTTATCCACTTTATTCTCAATCATGTGTGATGAAAATCAACCTCCAGAATCATCTTTTAATTCGTGAATGATAAACACCAACTTTTAATAGGAGACTAGACTAGTTTAGCGAAAAGAAATTTTTTGTGGTAATTTATGCCAAGCCCCTTTTGAAAGACATTCTTGCAACCGCAACGGGCATACTCATGCAGACATTCGTCAATTTTGTCTCATTAAAATTTATGATAGATATGTTGGTCAGGTCACAGCTAAGATAATGAAAACTAAATAAAAATGCTGCAGAAGTTCATGGGAAGATTACAGTGGGTAATAATAGATAGTAGGGGAAAACAAAATGATTAAAAAAAGCGAATAAAGATGGTTACCAAAAAGTCCCAAATACTGAACTGACCATCTCTGTGTAGCTCCAAATTTTAAAAAATGCTTGTCTGCAACTCCAAAATTCAGCAAAAAAAAACAGGAGAATACCTAGTGCGCAGATTTCCGTGATATATTACACAGATTCCAATATGGGTAAAAAAAAGCAAACGTCATAACCAGAAGCGGAATTACTTAGGCAAGCAAGTCGCGGTAATACACTTTCTAATCCTCTCTAAAAAAGCTAAATGCCATCTATTACAACATCCTCCCTCACTTTTCGTTCTTTGCGCACGGGTTTTGACCCCCATTTCTCGCGCGCGCCTAAGAGTTTGCCATGCTATTACATCTCTTAGCTTCAAGCAAACGTGTGATCGAAACCCACTCCTTGTACCCCCCCTCTCCGCTCCGCCCCTCTTCTCAAGCCCTGAGAGGTACCGGTTTCGGTGAATGTCTCGTTTAGCTTATAGCATGTCAACACTACTAAAATACATCGAACACTGCACATCGTTGGCATACGACGACCGTTCGGCACCAGTTTTCGCCCCCCTCCCTCCTCGTAACCAGCACGAAGGCACATAGTATCAGTTAGTGTTATACTATGCAAACTTCTAGAATATTCTTTCTAGCCATTGCTATTACTATTCTAACCTTATCCTACGCTATAGTCGAGGACAACGCAGAATTTCTATTTGAGAACGCTAAAATATGTAAGTTAACTGAATCAACCCTTATCTTTCAGAAAAAAAACATGCTTCAGGTGGAGACCCGTTCTCTGACCCAATATGGATTCCAACGCTGGATTTATGCACAATACAATGCGACTCAAACAGTGAGTACTGTGTCGAGAATGAGGATCTACAGCAGCAGTGCAAAAAGAGTGAGTTCTTCAAAATGCTTCAACTAGAGCACAAAACCGGTTTTCGTATTAAATGTAGGCACAAGAGCATTTTCCTCAACAAATTCTTTGAGATCAGATTTTGAGCCAACCCGTATCAAATTTCTCGACTATCAATGCTGACTGGCAATGTTAAAGAAAGTAAAGACGACATTAAAGGCAGGGTCCAAGCAAAACCCCAATTAGTAGCTAGTTTACAAGAAGGTCCTATAAGCAGAACGTCTGCGTTAGTCCGTCTTTTCATATGGCCTTTGAGTGGAAAAAAAAAGCTGGAAATATCGAAAGTGGTATCAAGCCACGCCCACCCTATCAAGCTCCGCCCACTCGAGTATCAAAAGTCATCTGTGAATTCAGAATAGGCTCCCAAAAATCGGGTTTTTAAGGGTTTTGCAATTTGCACTTCAGATCTATAATCATGATCACGAAAAGGCATAAAAATGACAAGAAATGGAAGACAAAGGTACGAATGGATGCTGCTTTTAAAGGCTGTTCTCGGAACAATTAACTGAACCATTTATCTCAAAAACAACGAAAGAAATTCTTTAGATCTAGGATTAACTTACTAATTACTTATTATTAAATTACTAGTTTCGTTCCGTATTACAATTATTTTTTTTCATTTATTTCCGCGCAAACTTTGCATCAAGCCCCAAAAATCTATCAACTCACAAAAAGCATGATACAGTGAGTACAAAGTCTATTAAGATGTAGATGCATGTTTGCCTTATTTGGTTGCCATATTTCAATTTATAATTCCCTTATCGGTCAAAACAAGAAATCACCAAATGAGTCATTCCTCTTCTTTTATAACATACCCACCAAAACCAGCCAAGTAATCCCAATTAACCATTGTATTTCAGTGCCCGATGAATGTCAGAAACTACTGCAAGAGAAGAAGAGAAAAAGAACACTGCATTCAAATTGATCCTTTTTCCTTCATAGATTTTCTTCTGCATTCCATATATGTACAAACTAGTCAGTTGTAATAAATAATTATGCTTTTTCTGCTTTACACTGTAGGATCGCATATTAGCTAAAGTTATATAAGTCACTGCTCTCTGGGAAAAAAACTTGTTCGGCGAGAACAACGCACTTCTTCGCGGTTCAAGAGAATACCTATGCTTTCATCTTCATTGGAGTCAAGGACAACGAGGCTGGTTTTTCGGTGACGTAAGCATGTAAACACATTGTTGTGCGGTTTTCACACATTAGGGAGACACATGATAGATTAACATTGTGATAAGTGACAAAGACATAGCACTAGACTTTGTAGATGAGAACATGCATTCTCTTCTCAAAAACTGACCCAACTGTCCTTGTTAGAACGCTTACAATAGCTTAGAGTAATTTACTCATAGTGCGCTAGGACCAATAGCTACTCACCCTACACTGAACTCAAAAGTTTATGAGACAAAAGAGCGCTTAATTGGACACCTTAGCGTGATCAAACTTCATCATTTCTGATGAGGGTAAAGTTACTCTACAGCGCTTATGTTAAAACTTTTGAGTCCAAGAAAGTGGATTCAATTCAGGACGAGCAATGAATCAATAGAAAGATGATGATGATGTAAAGGAAACTACCGAATAAAAAGAAAGTTTTTCGCTTTCAATGTCGTAAAGCAGCACACTGGAACAACAGGACACACTTTCCTATCATATAATCCAGAACTTTGCGCTTTCGACATGCTGAATCGTATGATTATTTGGGAAAGATGTTCTAGGAAAGTGAACTTTTACCTTACTTTAGTACGATAGATATCTGGAAATCCGCAAAAGTTCAATGCATTAGCAGATTTTTGATCACAAAAATAAGAGTTTAATGCAAAGACTGGCAGGTCCTAAGTAGAGGGAAACTCGCCTAAAGTCAAGATTATCCTTCTGTAATGTTTTTGAAGCTATGAACACATTGAGAAAGAAGGGCCGATAACAACATCAAAGCAATGCCTGAGACATAATTTTGAGGCACTCGTTAGCATCTCACTAGTTGCAAAAAATTCAGTGTTCGCTACCGTGAATAGATGTATATTTGATATCAAAGACTGACAGAGAACAAGTTGAAGTAGGGAAATGAAATGAAGCCACAAATGTGCAAGCTGAAGCTATTTTGGATCAGGACAAGAAGAAATGCATTTGAGATGTAAATAATGAGAAGATTGTGCATTGCAGTAGATAGCAAATAAAAAGAGTTGAAGAACAGCCTAGAAATAAATAGCGAAAGAGAATACAGTAGGAACACGTAACACTTCAAAAACGATGAATATACCGCAAGCAGCTCAAAAAAGATAAGAAAAAATCCTTTTGATCAGGATAAAGAGAAATGCATCTGGGATCAAATAATGAGCAAATGTGCATTGCAGCCAGATAACAGCAAAAAAGGAGAAGAAGAGTTCAGAAAAGTGAAGAATAACGAATAGAACATGCAAAGCGACGATGTATCAAACAAAATCTCATTTACCTTCCCGTGCATTAGCCGTTGCTGAGCATTTTGCTTTCCTCGGGCAATTTGTGTGATCCTTTTGAGCAAGAGAGGTGAAAAGACAGCCAACATCTAAATGTGGGGTAATATCGTCCATTGCATACAGCATAAAGACAGTTTATGTGGATTTAGTTTAAATTCAAATGAAGCGAAAGTCACAGAACTGTTGGTGTAACAGAAACCAGAAACATTTGAGATGAATCAGAAATCTAGGGAAGACACAAAGATTAGGACATACCTCATCGTAAGTAGCATCTCCACTAGATAATGTCAATTTGGCTGTGTCAAAAATTCGCTCCAGAACTTTGGATTCATCTCCAGACGTGCACCACTTTCCAACAACATCTGAATGAGGAGTGAAAATTACGAAAACTTTGGAAATTCTCAAAAGTTACGAAATACTGACTGTTGTAGACAAGAGCGAATTGGCCTGATGCACGAGCAGAAGACAATAGGATGTTGAGAAAAGGCTCCACAGCCGAGCTGTCACATTTCTAAAAAATGAGTGATCTGTAGGATCAATAGCACAGAAAGCCAGAGACGCACCTTGATTGTAAGCAACAGGAAGGTAAGGTCATCCTGGCTAAAAGAGCAGCTTCCATCTTTTTGCACAAAACTGACAGAATCTGCTATGTAAGACTGCAAAAAAAATTTGAGCAGTCAGGTAGCAAAAAATGTCCACAAAGCTTACGGGAAAACGATCCTTCAACAATAACGCTAAGTAGACAAATTCCACCGAAGAACTGGTAAGTGCTGTTTCGAGATAATTCTTTATGGCAGGTAAGATCCTCTGGAAGAATCAAACTCTCATTCAGCTAATGGTATAACCAAAAACTCACCGATTTAAACGTTTTCTTCTCCATTCCTAGAGCAATCTCAGCTACCAGTTGTACAATTGTCATTCCCAAAGTAGGACATAACCGATAAAGCTGGAACTCACGTTCCAGCAGAGCGCTGTCGCACTGAAAGAAAGATTGAAGATGCGGCGGTAACGACGGGTAAACAAGGTAAACAGACCCCAACAAACACTCCTGATTGAAAGATGGCACAAGCTAGTAGATGATGAGCTATCGCATTTGCACTACTACTATCCTATAAAGAACAAGATGAAACAACTTGTAAGAAAAATGAGAAAGCGAACCTTATCATGAAGATCAAGCTTCTTGTCAGCTATCTCAAAAAGCTTTTCGATTGTCCACTGCTCATGATATTCTGACAATAAGAGAACAAGTGCAGTTGAATACCTGAAACAAAAATGGATGGACCTAAATGCGAAAGATACACTCAAATTAAGTAACTATAAAACAGTTGCAATCGAATTAAATCCAACTGCCAGATTTGATACACATGAAAAACCGAAATGAAAATGCGCCCAACGAAAAAAAATTAACTTCTTTCCAACAAGGAAAAGAGAACCACTTTGCAACAAGCAGATACCTAGTTTGTTAATGCAGTGTGAATTTGAAAACGTATAAATCAAAAGCAAAAGTGACAAAGTAATAAAAATACAATTAGACCAAGCAAATAACATCAAAGAAAGATACCCAAAACGAGCTGCTGCCCTGGTTGAACTCAGTCCAGCAACAAGTCGTTCAACACAATATTCTTGTACAGATGGGTCAGACTTCTGAATCAAGAAAATGGATAACAGACCGTAGGATAAAAAGCACTTACCACTTTCATAAATAGTCGGCTAACTGCTTCGTAGCGTTTTTGTGCATTAAGTTCCACCAACCCGTAGAATTCATTGAGAATATCCTCATTAGGGCGCATTGCAGCGCTGAAAGACAAGTGATAATCACAAGATTATAGAAGTAAAACCCAAATCGAATAGTTACCGTAGCTAAAGCAAGCCGTAAAGTCAAATGTGCGCCTCCGCAGTTACACACTGCACCATATTTCACGCCTAAAATCACAATTTCTTGGGCATTTTGTTCCCGCAACCGACATGAGATGCTGAAACAGAGATTGCAAATTTCTAAAATATAGATTCAGTAAAGAAAATGATCGAATTGACGAGGAAATTGGGATTTAGATGTTTCCGAAGCTGCTCTATTCAATGTCAATAGTTGTTATGCTCAAAAAATCACGAAACTGGGTTTTGAAATGTTTCAGAATACAAGTGCAAAAGTCAAAAAAAAAGTCTAAAATCAAGTCATGGCAGAACTGCTACTCTATTCGTATAAACTCAAAGCATTACTGATTATCTGCAGAATCAGATCGCCAGATGTGAGAAATGTGGCAAAATGTCGCAGCTTGCAACAGAAGAGACAAATTGAGCCCTAATAGATAAGGCATATGCGAAAGTCTTGGCGTGATAACTGACTGAATGGCTCCAAACAGCGTGTAGGTTACAACCTCTATAGGTATGATTGCGACTGTCTTGCCTAAAGCAAATGGTCATATCGTTGAAAATGCCCGGGGGAGGATCACTGATGAACTCACATTCGCAATTTTGTTTCTGACATTTTGCATATTGAAGAGAATTAATGCTAGATTATATTGAAACTGCTTAAATACCAGTTTAGTGGCGAAGGGGAATTACTCCACTGAACTTCAGATTCGAATTTTGTTTGAAAACCCAGTTTTAAGATTTTTTGAGCATAGCAACTATTGACATTGGATAGAGCAGCTTCGGAAACATCTAAATCCCAATTTCCTCGTCAATTCGATCATTTTCTTTACTGAATCTAAATTTTGGAAATTTGAAATCTCTGTTTCAGCATCTCATGTCGGCTGCGAGAACAAAATGCCCATGAAATTGTGATTTTAGGCGTGAAATGTGGTGCAGTGTGTAACTGCGGAGGCGCGCATTTAACTTTACGGCTTGCTTCGGTTACGGTAACTATTCGATTTGGGTTCTACTTCTATAATCTTGTGTGATAATCAAGCAGCAAAGTAAATGCCTGGATTTTCTCAAGAAAAGAAAAAGACGAACAAAATAAAAGCAGAGTTTGGATTGAAAAGCGTGGACAAATCGAACATCGCCGCGCCAAAAATTGTCGCTGGAGCATCTCAGCGCAGCTGAACTTAATTTCTGCTTTCTTTTGACATCAACTATAAACAAGTAGATTAATAAGCTTTCTTTATATTTACAATACGTGACATGTTATTTCTTCGTATGCCATATGAAGGCAAACATTGTGTTAGCTTCTATCCTTATCAAGTTCGTTTCATTTTACCTTCTGAAGTTTTTATTTTTCTTTATCGTTTCCAAAACTATTTGAACCATAATTTGAACCCAAGCATTCGGGCTGCAAAGTGCATGCTAACGCTTCCAACATTGGAGAACAATGATACATAAAAGGCACCCCCACTTTAACCATTTTTCTTCAAAAAGGTGAATTAATCATAAGTAGCTATTTCGGATCAGTCGCTAAAAGGTGTTAAATTGATTTGAGACAAATGGTGCTCTCAAAAGTGTCTTTCTTATCTGACTAATGTTCTTATTTCCTTCTTTCCAGATGATCTGGCCTCGTCTCAAAGAAGCAAAGCAAATTTTGACACCTTATCACCTACTTAATGCCCTCCTCTCTATTACATTTTTGTGTGCAAAGGGCATTCCCCAGATCTGTCCATGGATTTTTGCGACTGAAGCTGGCGAAGAATGTGCCATCGACTCGGTAAGTTGCATTGGTACTTTCCTATGAGAAACAGTACTAGTTTTTTCCTTTTATTCAGAATTGAAGTAGTACGTCAGTGGTGTGCTAGACATGTTTTTTTTTGAAATCTTGACAAGTTTGTCCCTTTTTAGCGGGAACGAGAAATTCTCATGTTCCTGGCTGTGATTATTGCATGGAAAGGACGAAAAGCCACTAACTGGCTCCACTACATTAACAACATATTCTTATTCTCCAAAGTTGCTAATATAGCTCTATTTCTTCGTGCAGATGCTCTTGTGGGCATCGTGTATTTACTGATCACTCTTGGTAAGCCCTTTCTTGAATAGAAACACTGCTGAATCTCAACCCGATTTCTTTCAGCAATTACTGTAATCGTGCCCGAACCCGTGTATACAGGTCCGGAGAAGGTTACGTACTATCAAGGATCGGAACTTTTTGTAAGTTCTTCTTATTCAAGAATTTGCTTTAACTTGATTCGTATGAAATCTTCAATGCTTTTATTCATCAAAGATAGGAATTACTTACATAATAACTCACTCAAACTACTTTCACGATTTATTTCGGGCTTTCGTCAGTTATTTATGGCGGAAATGATAGCTTGCAAGCGTCATTTTTGAAAACATCGCAGATATGAAATTAGCTTTTTTCAAAATATGGGAGCGGTAGGCGAAGAGCGTAACGAGAGTGCGTTTGAAAGAGGAATCAGATCAGTTTGTTTTGCTCTATACGAGCGCCCTATATAGTTTTCGTATCATTCTTTAGCCAGTATATGTCTGTTTAATGCTCGAAGTATAATAATAATCTCAGCCATGAAGTTCCATTTGAAGTATGTTCGATTATAATTTTAGGAAGAACTTGGTAAGGACCGTAAATCCATTTTCGTGATACAGTTCTACACCACCTGGAGTCCCGATTGTAAACATGTTACACCAGTGTTTGCTCAACTCAGTGAGAGGTATGGAAAACTCTTTTATATGTTTAGGTTGCTTTTTCTTACACTTTTCATTGTGCTTTTGAGGAACCATCGAAATGTTTTTCTAATAACTGCAGTAATTTCGATTATATTTTTCGCCTGCCTAGGCTACTGTATGACGAAGGCGCAATACCTTTGGGCGCGAACGCGGTTCTATTAACCGGGAGCGTATGACACGGGGGGTTTACAATGGTGAAGATACGAGCGCGCCGAGCAATGCTCGGCACGAGGTGGCTAGATGAAAATGGAAAAAACGAAGTCCTCCTTGACTTTTGGGAATTTTTACGAAGTCCCCTTTGACCCTCAACCAAATTTCCTCTAAAAACCTGAAAAATTCCCCAAAATCCCCCAAAAAACGAAACGTCGACTAAAAAAAAAGGTCGCCGTCGCCAATTTTCCGTGTCTCTTCGGTCACAAAAACGAAACCCCCTTTGCTTTTCGTCCCACAAACGATATCCAGCTTGCTTGTAAGCCACCTCGTGCCGAGCCCTGGCGCCGAGTCCGCGCCCGCGCAACTAATACTGCTTCTCCGCCTTCGCCCTGCGGTAGCCTTTGCATCATCCCAGCGAAGCCTTTACTAAAATTACGTGGCTAAGCCCTCAGTGGTGCTTCCCTGCTCTCAACCTGGCTCCGGTAGGAGTCAAGAGTTATGTGGAACAAGGAAGAGCAAGTCGTTCGAAACCTTTCAGGTATAATCTTATCGTAATATCTGATGGTAAATCTCTTTAAATATCATAAAAATGAAAACTCTCAGAATGTTTTCGCTGTACTATATCGTAACTCTACAGATTTTCACTACCAAATCTTCGTTTTGGCAAGCTCGACATAGGTCGTTGGCCCAAGGAAGCGGAGCGTTTTCGCGTTAGTGCGCATCCGACATCTCGTCAACTGCCAACTATCTGCATATTCAAGTTTGTTTGTTTTTTGTTAAAAGAAAATGAACCGAGCAGTACTTTGAAAATTTCCAGAGATGCTAAAGAACTGAAGCGAAGACCGATCGTCAATGATAAGATGCGAGCTGTTCCATTTGTCTTTAATGAAGTAAGTAATACTACAGTCAAACTTCTTTCTTAAGGTTGATTCGAGGATCATCAGATCTGAGCTTATTTTAGGACAACTGCATCTTCGAATTCGATTTACTGAATGTATATAAGGAATGTCTGGATAGGTTGTCAGCTAAAGAGAAGAAAGAAATTGAAAGTAAGAAAGAAAAATGATTCGCTTTCATTCTTGTTGGTATTGTACATATCAAATAGGAATGAGTGTAGTTCGGATTTGCAGCTTTATTATGCTAGTTAGTTTTTTTAGAAAGATCTGGATGATTCGCATTTTTTAGCATTTGTTAATAGGTGAGAATTCAATTCGATATCATTTATGCATTTATTTGCAATGATGAAAAATTTCTACTCTTTTTCTTTGAATGATGAGCACACCAAAAGTCTTCCTGATGCTCTGCATGACTTGTTGTCATAAATTTCTTCTGTATAATACACATTTTTTATTGTTTTATAAAAATCCAAATTTCTTGTTGAAACTTCGGGTCCGGAATAATAGCAGCATTTTTTCAAAATTTCCATGTGCCCGAGTACAAACAGTTCGAATGGACTCTGTAGGAAACAGGTACATGAAGAACTTGCTTGGAGCTAAACTTCCAATTAATAAATACACTAAGTGAGCTAAAATTTATCGAGGCAGAGTAATGATGATATAGAATTTCTAGCACAAGTGTAATATGTAATAACATGCAAACGCTTTTCTAAAAAAATGAGAACTAAGCTTCATAAAAGTACAGAGTGACGAGTGACGAAAACTTTTTTCTCTTCTTAATAACAAGGTTGAGGCAACATATTTGTTAAAACAACATTCTATAACGTAAGAGGTCGATGAAGCTGGCGGCGCAGTTCGACTGTCTATGAAAAGAGTACGTGGACGAGAGAGATGCAGGCAGCTAGAAGAACAACCGTACCGCGGCATTGTCTACTGTCTGCGCGTCGAAACACGTCTCTACTAGTGAAGCAGGATAATCAAACGATAGTTCTGGGATCCCATGACGCTTTTTGAGATTTCCCATTATTGAGTAATTTCTGCACATCCTCCGACGATATTTTCGTATCCAACGCTTTGTAGTTCTCGACAACCCTCTCCTTCTTTGTAGTACGCGGGAGCACACTGATCGACTGGGCGATAGCCCATGCAAGGAGGAACTGCGGTACCGTAATTTTATATTTCTCAGCCATTTGCTGCACATCGGGATCGTTGAAGAGTCGATCGCGGTAGCCTGGTCCACCAAAGCTGCTGTAGGCCTAGATATTCGTGCTTGATCAATAGACTACCAAGTCAAAGTCATGACTAACCTGGAAGTGGATGTCGTGACTTTTGCAGTATTCAACAAGATCGGTTTGGTGGAAATGAGGATGAAACTCAACCTGAAACGACGATGCTTAATCAGCAAACAGCAAAGATAAAATTTGCGATAATGAAAGTACAAGGTACTGCTTGAGGATTGCAGTCTCTTAGCGAAATTCCAAGCGATGGATATCTGGGCTTCTTATGTGGAGGTTGGGGAACCCTGACCAAGCCATTGCTCAAGCGGCAGCTTGTGTGATACATAAGCGGCCGGCAAATTCAAATTAAACTCCCCCCAGACCGTACTCTTTCCAAAAAACCAATCAGCGTGTGGTATATGGGGATGGAGATTGGTCCGGTTGGAAAGAGTTTGGTTTCTCGGACATGAGTAAACTACGTGGTTTATATAATTGTGCGTAATCTTATTTCTATATGATTATTATTATTTTAAATCTATGGAAATCTGTTCAGATAAACTTTGTGTATAATTTTGAAGGTTATGGGCCCGCAAAGAAAATTAAAAGCATTTCAAAAAAGCCTACTGGTTAAATCATTGAGCTGACCAATGGCGAAGTGGAGCAAGTTGATCCAGTGAACATACGCTGCTATTGATCAGTTTAGACTCGACCAGTAGCGAAGTGGGTAATATGATTGAGCGGATCACTACGTCTAGCGCCTGCCTGTTGACCCCCCCCCCCCCTACACTCGGAATGTTCGGATAAATTTCTGTTAACTCCCCACACCTCCGCCAATATCTCGGATTGCCAGTGATAGAAACCTTATTTACTGAAGCTACCTGATTCACAGCAGGAAGAACTTTGCAATGTCCTAGCAGTTGTTCCAGATGAGAAATTTCGTAGTTAGAAACACCAATTGATCGAATTTCTCCTGTTTCTGCAAATATGGCAATCAGGACCAAAAACTACGGAACAAAATTGAAAAGGAAATCTCACTATGGTAATCTTCGAGCACTTCGTAAGTCTGCTTTCTTCTTACAGGATTCTGCTTGTCGTCCGGAGACTTACTACTCGTTCCAGGCCAGTGAATAAGCATCAGGTCGATGTAGTCCGTCTGAAGATTTTCGAGAGATCTACAAAATCATCACCAGTTAGCAGAAAATTACCAAAGTAACGATTCAAAATCAAAAAATATACTTCGCTTACTTCTTCACTGATTTTCTTGCCAATTCTGTGCCCTGATTAGCTGGTGAAACTTTGGAAGTGATGAAAATGTCCTTTCTGAAAACTAGATTGTCTACAAATATTTATTTCGCAGAATTAATTGTTATGGAAACTGCCTTTCAAGGTTATATTTTGGCAGCAGCTCTTTGAAAATCCTTCCCAGAGCCGCCTCATTACCGTAAACTTGAGCAGTGTCGAAGAAACGATATCCACATGATAATGCAGCATCCACGACTTCATGTAAGATGGTCTCATCACGAATCTATAAATAAAAAAAGTATAAGATTGTGGGACGGGGGTAAGGCATCACCGTTATCAGCCCGATTACGTGTATGTGCATGAAGCTGTCTAGCTGAAGACATCCTCCCTTTGATCGTGATTTCAACTTTATAAGTTTCAGAAACCTACTACTCCCAAAGAATTTCAAACTGCCTTAGTCATAGACAAATGCAGAAAAATACATTTTTCTGGGACTTGCTGGACAAAACAGGTCATCACGTTGGCGCGGTTTCAGTCTTTGTGTAGAACATCCATTGCAACATTTCTTCCCAAAAATTCCAACTGAGCCGATACCCAAAGAGCAGAATATGTAATTACTCGCGTACTAAAAACTCAGTTTCAGCCTGCCCACACCGCGCTCTATCGTACGAAAACTCTCGACCGGCTCGGAAAAAGTACGGTCTGGGCTGGATTTTGAAGTCGATTTTCTCAACCAAGAATCATCATTAAGAGCTGCAATTTGAGCAGTGGCTTTGCTAAGGTCTCCTGTCAAAAACACGCATAAGAAGTCCAGCTTCCCAAATTTGTCTGGACATTGCCTTCAAAATCTAACGGAACTTACCATCGCAATGAACAGGTATACTTTGCTACATACAAACTTACTAAAGAAGATGGTAATCTTCCAAAACACTTCTGTTATCATATCTCGGGTATAAGTGCTTTAAGAGTTAAATTACTACTTCTTGTTCTTGCATAACCAAAAATGAAAGATTTATCAAGAAATGGCTGACAGATGACTCTTCCTGTATCTTAGCCTATCATTTCAAACTCTAAACATTTGTGTAATTTTACAATATGAAACTTAATCTGACTAGATATAAATCCTCACATTAATTTTAACTTGATATGTGAGCCTTCACACTATGCGCGGCACCCGACGACACCCTTACTAGTAACTCATCAGTAAAACATTTTTGTTGGAACAAAGCTGTGAAAGCGTGTAGCATACTAACTAATACATATATCAAACTGTAAGAGAGAAGAAAACAGAGAAAAATTTCTGGAAATTAATTTTAATTTTGGGAGACTTTAAGTAGCGCGCGTGGCGTGCAATACACACATTTAAGTTAGACATGGGTCGACGACAGCTGACGGGTTTGAATTTTCATGCACAGAGCGTTCTCAAACGCCTTATTCTAGATTTTGATAACACTACAGTCATTACAGTACCTGATAGGTTCCAAAGCCCAAGATGGGCATCTTTTCGCGCACGTAATTCCTTCCAGACTTGTCCATAGTTCACTGAAAATACACATGCGCATATGGAGAGCTCGCTCTTCTCTCAAGAAGTGTTATTATCCCGGTTGCGTCGTCTCATCCTTACAGTACACACTTCGAGCATTGAGCAGAGAGACGCAACGGGTGCAATGCTGTACAACACACAGGTCATACAATTAGCCACTTGAAGAACATGCAGACGGCTATTGAGAGAGGCGATAGCGAACACTGGCTAGTGAGGAGAGAGCATTTGAGGTGAGATACGTAGAGAAATGGAAGAAATTTCTCTTCAGATAGTAAAAAACTTATTGATCAAGCAAAAGTATACAAAACTTCTATAAATCGGAGGTTAATAACGAAAAAATTCAACTAGTTTTGTCAGCTAGGGAAAACCCTCACTACATCAAGGAGCTGTATAGCAAAGCAGTCAACATTTCACAATTCCAGCTTTTTCCCAAGCTACACATAGAACGACTGACCCAGTCTCCTGTTGGTCGAGAAGTGTGAAATTCCAAAATGATCTCAGCAATTTTATTGCTTATTTTTTCTTTTAGGAAAAGGAAGATAGCACTTTAAAGAATACATCTCTTTCCGTTTACCTTTGGAGTAATGTCTCAAGCATTGTTTGAGATTCTAGAGATAAATTTCTCAAAAGTCCAAATATAGCACATTTTAGAGATCTTATTCTTTTCTTGTTCACCTTGTATGGAATACCCAGAAAAACGTGTTCGAAATAAAAAAGTTTCCGCGATTCTTTACCAAGGCATACTGAAAAATACATTAAAACTGTATAACCTTTGCTTTCGTCGGATAAAAACTACACGTTAGAGTCTGTGTAAAAATTTTTTTTGAAAACACTGAGTGATAACTATGCATTCTCTCAAGTTGGCATTTCTTCGATAAAGACGGTCAAAGTTATTCGTACCTTATATATAAAACCTACAATTTTGACAAAAAGAGAAAAGATCTCCAACAAAACTTAATGCTTCTACCAACAGATTTAAGTCCCAAACAAATTGCAAACAACGATCAATTCATTAATTGATGAGTATAGGGGGTAAATCAAGCTATCAAATAGAACCAATTCTTCCCAAAAAGTAAGCGCGGTTGAACAGTTGCTTTTGTGAGCTGCTGCATTCAGAACTGCCTCTTCTCGCTGTTATCTACATGTGTATGATGACAAATAGCTGAGACCGAGTTCAGCTTCAAGACTAGAGGTGTTTTTGATCAAGGAAGAAAAACAAAGCACGGTTTTTTTTAAATTTTCTAAGCCCAAAATGATGCCAGCGTTTCCCTGAGAAGGGGCTGGGAGGATAAAGTATATGCTTCTGATGGCATTTGCAACCACTGACTATATTTGGTCGTGAAGAATGGTGTAGAATGCCACCTACACTATAGTTCATTTATAAAATCGTGACGACGGATTTTACTGCGGACTTTGCGCCCACATGAGCATAAAACGCCCTCCCAAGAAGGCATTACCTCAAGATTCAGCTCAGTCAGTTCCAGTGTTCAAATATTGTCATATGTAAGCAAAAAAATCTTTCGACTAGAGATGGAAGTCAAGAAAATGCTAATTCCGCAAGTGGCGTGCGTTTGCGCGCGGTCGCGCCATCGTCACGATTTCTCAAATGCCCTATACATTCGTAGACTTGATATTTTCAGTAACTTTCGAAACTGACAGAAAAACAGCTTTCTTTCGATAACAAACCCTCCCCTCTTCCGAAAGCGTGAAACAGTCTCTTTCCCACCGTCGCAAATTTTTGATTTACATTATTACGCTAATATAAGTAAAAAGTGTTTGGTCACCATCTCTTCCTCTCACGCGCGTGAACTGCTTCCTGTTCTCCTTCAAATGGTGTTCATATCGGTGTCTTGTAATCGAATCCGCCTATAATGGTGAACCAGAACGCTGGCTAGTAATCCGTTACGTACATAACGATCACCCATCACTACATCTGCTACCACACACCCTACCGTAATGAGGACACGCCCCATGTCTTAGTTGGTGTTAATTGCTTGTCTATACAATATTGCACCCTCAACTACGCTTTTTTCTGCCATTTCATTTTTTTTGTAGGTCCTCAGCAATACTCTCTCGGCCCTCCCCCCTTCCGAATTCTCTCATTCCTTGAAGATTATTTCAAAAAATTTCAGACAACCGATAGTGAGAAGTGCTTCAATCACAAGAGAATCAACTGCGGGATAACTTGTAGAGCATGTAAACCCCCTTTTTTTCTCATTTAAAAACCGCCTTCTAGACCATTGATAGCTAGCCGTTCTCCTCCCAAACATTGGTTTTTTTACCTCAAAAGTATTCAGGACATCTAATCAAGCAATTAAAACCTTCACTTATAAGGGGTGCTGGGAAAATTTTTGTGGACCCTCCCCCCAATTTGCCATGTGCATTAATGCTTATTATAAAAAACGAAATTAGCGACTTACAAAACTCAAACTGTTAGAGTGCAAAGTAATGGTTTAAAAAAAATTCAATAAAGTATAAGGTGCAGAAACCGTTCACAAATTTCTCGAGCTTTGAACCTTGTAGACTTGCAGCCTTATCTACCGATCTGCTTTGATAACGAAAGTCGATAGGCAGGAACAATAGCTATCAAATGCAGTCTTTCACTAATTACTGCTTCTCTTGCAGATCATAAATTCTAGTAATTGCCCGCTAATGGGTGGAAGCTACTAGGCTGAAATTTTGACAAATGGAGGAATATATTTCAAACTCCTGAAACACAAAAATCACTGCTTCTTGAAAAAAAAAAGGTTTGACTAGCCACTCTAAAAATTCCTTTTTCGATCTTAAGCTAAGGATATGTACTCAAGCTCGCAAGGAAGCCGTCAATAATATAGATTTGACAATGAGAGTTAGTTCATTTCAGATTCCCAATTCTCTAAAAAAAAGGTGCAGGTAAAATTCGATAAAACAATTTTCCAAAACCGTGATTAGCTACTCTAAAAAAATTCTTGTCTATCTTTTTTCCGCTTATAAAAATTCAGCATATTCTATTCCTGCATTTTGCACACAAGGATGCTTGTTTTTATTGGTTTTTAAGCAATTTTTGCAGATCACATAATTGCAGGACCTAAGCACTGGCAAAATGTACACGCTACCACCAGCCTATTCCTACTGTCAGCGTTCGCCTTGCTATTCTGAAGGAGATGACAGAATTTATAAGAGAAGACGTTCTGAGATCAGTCGAAAACAAAGAATGGCAGCAAATGAACGAGAACGAAAAAGAATGAACAGGTAGATTTATCATGATATTGTTTCCTAAAAATATAAAAATTCCAGCATAAATCGCGGATTTGATCACCTTCGTCAGCGTTTACCAACGATGCCCCACGATAAAAAATTATCCAAGGTGAATATTTTCCACCATCAGGGCCTTTAGTCAGAAATTTTGCTTCTTAAGGTAGATACCCTCAAAGGAGCAATGCAATATATTCGAGAACTTCAAGCTCTCCTCGAGCAAGAGCTACCCTCTGGCCCGGTAGGAGATCATAAGATTCTCATGAATAATAATCCTGGAGAAGGTAAAACCCTTCTATTATACTAGGCAAAATTTTGCATAAAATTTTTTTTCAGAAGGAGTTTATGTTGTCTCATGGCGACGAAATCCGGAAAAATACGGAGACATCCACACCACCACCAAAGGAACAGTCGTCTACCAAAAAGATGTATGGGTTCCGGGAACAAAATAGTGAATGAGTGGATATTTTGTGCAGTTGTATTCGATTCGATGTATAAATCTTCATCATACTTAGAAGAATTACAGTTTCTTTTAGAACATGAGATCTTCCAAGTTGAAATAGAATCCAGTATTGTTGCACTTGAAAATTGCACGAGTGTTCCCTCCAAAAGTCGAGAATTTTCTCATACAAAACTAAATTGCTGCACGAAGGTTGGGGATTTCCAATTTAGACCAGATTCAAGCAAAAAAACGACCATACTGTATGAGGGAAGTTTCAAGAAAATGGAGTCAGCAAGCTGTCCATCGCTCAAGAAAGATGAGTAATGCAAGAAAGGTGCAACTCTAGATGAGATAAAACGACAAAATGAAGTTAAGGAGGCTTCAACGCATCTATCGTAAACAAAACCTATTCATTTGTAGGTAAGCCCTGATTACATTTGAGATATAGTAGAAGCATTACTCATCCACTGAAGCAAAACAGTCAAAAATCAAAATTTTATTTACTGTACTATACAATTTATAAAAAGGCGTAATGTTTGTAAAAGCGATTAGTTTCACAACACAGCATCGATTATCGAAATCTCATATTTCTCTATAAGAATCTTGATCATCTTTAGGTTCCGGATTTAGCTCTATACGCATAGCTTCTGGTTCGCCAGTGGATGTAGTTTGCTGTAAGACCACTATTTTTTCAAACAAGAACTGGTGCTACTGCGCATAACTTTACCTGACTTTTAGAAGGGTTACTGGTTTTGTTACTCTCCTCCATTGCTTTTCTTTCAGCTTCCATCTTTTGCACGACAGTATATTCGTTAGCATAATGCTAGAAACACACAGGACTGTATTTGGAGTTGCCCGCGCCTGCGTGACAGCTGGGGTCGATCATTCAACGATTCCGAGCCAGTGCGGAACTGGAGCGGCGCTGGCACGACGGTAGCACACATACAACTTCAAGAAATTCAAGAAACTCTGCTAAGCTGCGAACAAGGAAAAACTAAAATCATTGATTGAGACAGTAGGGACCAAAAACATCATAGCACTCCAGAAAACAAACAATAGTTGTTGCGCTTCAAAAGGCAAAATTTTTACACCGGTTTCGAAGATTTGCCCAACGGAATTTCTTGCGTACGATTGTAGTGTGCCACCTCGGATCCAGATCCAATCCGGACCGCTGAAGTATAGCCCGCACCACTATAACGCGGAATGTTAGTTGATCATAACATACCGCATCTCGCATAGCCTTGAACTGATCGGTCTGTTCGCTAGGTTTTCCGTCGCAATATGGTGTAGGTGGTTCTGGCTGAAAAAAGAGTCTTACAACTGGTACAGCAAAAGTGTTATTGTCCCAAAACTTCGTACATCAAACAAGTAACCCATCGTCCATGCTCGGGGCTGATATGTTTCCATCACATTCCATTCATCGAATAATGTACGTTGTTGTCGTGACAGATGTCCACCAAATAGTCGATTCCACTTAAACGAACCTGTCTAAAATCCGTGGTCAAGACGGACCACCAAAATTACTCTCCACCAAATATGACATACATGTTGTAGCAGAAGTATGTATAAGGTAAAGATCCATGCGATAGGATTGTACCAACTGACAGAGAATCGCAGGAACAAGCTCAGGATTAGCTGTACGACTGCAAATGTGCACGCAACGCATAGCGTTACATTGAATCTCACGCTAAAACCATTGAAAATCACACCGAGTAATAACCAAAGATGATTAGCTCTCGTACTTAGGTGTAGATGAGAGCATAATGCCGCCAATCACATTGGAATGAAAATGAAAAGTGAGAAACCTCTGAGTTACAAGCACAGCAGCATGAAAGGAATGTGTTTATGATTTCAGATCAAGCATGATATAACATGGCAGTATGAGATTATGCAAGTGAGATTGAGATTGATAAGGAGATCAAATTAACATTGAAAAGATCATCATCAAGAGAAGTGAGAATAATCATGAGCAAGAGACAAGTGAAGGGAACGTAAAAAGTGAATAAAAATGCTCAAAGGCTATTGAGACAAATGAACGAAATGATAAAGAAATGGGTATTACATCCAGATAACACTCAAAAACCGAAAAATTACCAATCAGCAAAAATGATTAAATATGATAATGTCACGCTGCCGCTTCAAATCACCGGTCCGTAACGGCTGCACCTAGATAAATAACGTTCCAAAAAAAATCAGAACTTCGCTTAGCTTGCTTGTTCATGAGCACGACATTTACTGAGTATAGTAAGCATTTCTGATGAAGCATAACTTGAGATTTCGCGCAGTTGCTTGTCAGAGCAAAAGAGATTTTGTTTCCATTTTATTTGGATACTCTACTTCGATAGACGCTTTCATGTAAACAACGCAGAATTCAATCTTTTCTCATAATATCAAAGCAAAAGAAGAGGGATAAGTTCCGCTTTTATTCTATTCGAGACAAAACATTGGTCGAATTTCGGTGCTAATTGATGCTTGTTTCGGCAAAGGGTAGGCTACTAACCTTGGAAATTTTCAAGTAATAAAACGTACCTCAAACACTGAGCCCATGGACAGTTTTATAGAACGTAGAATGTTTCGAGAAAAACTCCAAAATAACAGGATTCATTGCCGCATCTCCTTGTTGTTGCTCTCGCTGTAGACGCATCTTCATTATGTTGATAAGGGTCTAAAAGAAACAATCTCTGCCTAAATTTGTCGAAAATAAAGAAAAAAAGCTTTATGAACACACCTTCACAGTATCAGCTTCAACACTGTCTTTCAAGTAGAGTTCCACCATTTTGCTAAATTTGAATGTATCATTTAGCTTATTATGCCCGAACCAGTCTCCGTTTTCGCACAGCCTCGTCAAGCGATCAGATAGTAGCATAAGAAACTCTGATTCATCCGCATCAATAACATCTACTGGTACAACTGAACCCCAGATCTGAACACAACACAGAATCTTTCAACTCATAAAAAATTTTCGGAGACAACTACCTCAAGTGGAATCTCCTCTTCTGATGGTAGGATGGCAGCACATGCTAATGTATCCCGATCAGGAGATGGTAGCCTCTGCACGGAAGCGCTCAGCGCAGCATGCATAGATTCGAACTCGAAAGAAGTTGCAGCACTAACTGCTGATAATCCTCGAGTTTTCAACCGACGGCAGAATGTCATCAACCTAAAATACTGTGCATTAAGTCAGCTCAGTTTTCAAAGCTTACTCACCGATCAGCACGGCCAGCAGAAAGTTTTCTCATGATGTTCAAAAGAGCCACATTTCCACTACAAAGTGAGATCGCTTCAGAAAGCGCCTCTTCAGACTGCAACAAGTGTAGACAGCTTTTCCGTCAACCAAAACCAAGTCACCTACCTCAGTCGACGCATCAGTAATTCCAAGTAATTCTTTGGATTCTTCTGTCGTAACACCGTCAACATGGATGATATCCACTGAGCAAGTAGCACTAGCAAACAGCTCAGCATTCCGAGTTGTTGCCAACACACGAATCTATAAAAATGAAAGACTCTCTGAAATAGCAATTTTTACTTTGAAGAGGTGGAACTCTAATTCATTCGACAGATGCGACATTCGTTTTCAAATTCCAACACTTTCGACAAAAAACAACCCATCTTAGGAATCCAGTCATCCCCTCAAAATCTTGCTCATGACCTCCACTAAAACTCCACCACATTTGAAACAATTATTTGAGTTAAGCAGGGTACTGTAGAGTTGCCTCTCTAGCTGCTATTGGAGCAAGCCACTTATGAAACACACTGAGTCTAGTGCGCTTGTAAAATAGAAAAGTTTGTAACAGTAAGGATAAACGCAAAACCTACACCTAGCTGATTTGCGAAGTTCACTGTCTCCTTCTGACAAACATCATCGAGAACTACCAGGACATTTGGTCGATCAATTAAGGCGGTTTCAATCTACAAAGAACTCTAGTAGCATGATAGCAACAACTAACAATAATTACACTTATTTGAAGAGAATCTGACCTGTTTGTATAGATAGACAGATGACATGTCGTCTACTCTTGGTGGATCACTAGCCACATCATCCCTAGAAATAGTACGTTGCAAAATGAGATGATTATAGTTCATTTTCACTGTGGTAACCTTCATAACCGAGTGGTAATGACGGGCCAACGCTTATGAGTTGAGCACATCAGCCATGGAGAGTGCGACAAGTACCCGGTGGTACAAAGTGACAATTGCAGGCAAATCCCTACTGCGCAAAGAGCCCAAAACATCTACAGAAACACTTACCACAGCATGAGCAAGAGATCAGCGAAAAGATAGCGGACGCGATTTGGCTCTGTACTTGAATCGCGAAGCCAAATGACAGATTCAAAACAACTGAAAGCTATAGCTGATGTAATTTTTTGATGACGAAGACTTATCGACTTACTTTCCTAATAAATCTGGTATATCCGCAAGAACCGCCGCAGCAAGAGAAGATTTCCCGCACCCAGCGATACCATGCAAGACAACAAAGAAAGAGTCTAAAAGAGTGACGAAATCAAGAAATGGCTCAATAATCTTCATTCTTGATCTGCAACCCAGTGCATAAAGATGATCGAAAATCCCTAGGCCTCAAATCTGTGCGAAAAAATTTGGAACTCACCCAAATCGCATCGCTCTCTCAAAGTTTTTGCCACTCGCATTTGCATCGCTTCCCTTTTCACATGCTGGAACGCTCTTGGTACTCTACCAGCAAGCAGTTTACGCAGTCGAAGGTGATGAGGAAATCGAGGTTCGACATCTGGGCCACCATAGCTTAAACGGAACGTGTGAGCTGACGGCTTGTCTACGGCTTTACAGTGAACAGGATAAAGTTCAATGGGAGGAAAGGAAGTGATATAATTTTTTGATAGACAGCGTGCAATAATCACTCTCTTGAAACAGAAGAATATACGGAAGAAATCTAACCGTTACTACTCATATGTATTGGCTTTAATCGACTGTAGCATTAACGATAGTCAGATTTTTCCCGAAAGGTAAAATATACGGAAAAATCTGACTAATATTAGTGCTATAATAGAAAAATTGTGAGTACATATGAATCAGAACATGTAGAAACTAACCCGTCCAGAACGTGCTCCAGATCAGTTTTCATCGCATTTGCAATGTGTTCCTGTTTGGCATATTCAAAGTAGGAAATTAGAAGGTCGCAGTCTGTAGCTCGTCTTCTATAAATTCGCAGAAGTTCCCTCAGTCGTTCAAGTCGCGTTGCCTGAAACGTTACAGTATTGATGACAGACTGGCTTCGAAAGGAAATCGCCGAAGTTTTCCACTAAACAACGATGAGACTTGAAAATAATAAACAGGTGAAAAAATAAAATTCAAAATGGATGAATCGTGCAAAAGACATGAAACAATTACCTTGGATTCGATCTTCTCGGCGAGATCCTCTGTGAGCAGCCCAGAACTTTCCAAAAAGATCACTGCATCTTTCGGATCAAAGTCCAGTAGTAATGTATCGAAAACCGATGATAATACACGACATTCAGGTTCACTAAGCATGGTTCAGTGTGAAGTTTCTGTAAGAAATAAACTATCAACATATAGAAGGACGAATATACATATAACACACATGTTCAGTATTAAACAATACCGTGAATGACCAGCACAGTCTTCAAAGGAAAAATAATTGGTCGAAGTGCTGTTTCCACATGAGATATGGATATAGTACTTACTATCTTATGAAGCATAGAACGCTAATTCCAAATCTGCTCTCGGTATTCATTTGCAAAGCCCTTCTGGGAGGGGAGTTATGAAAATTTCTTGAAGCATTCAAACGCGCAGCTACAATGAGATCATTCGGAACTGTAGTCTATGAGTTCAGATAGGGGCAGGATTACTACCACGGCGCTATCTGTATTTAAGGCCTTCAGTCTAACAGAATTAAGCTAGCTTACTCCTTTCAAATGCCAGAAAGATCTCAACACTCGTTTTTATCTCTGTCAAACATCTGAATTTCTGCCTGAAAAAAGCCATGACGCGCTTTGCAGATATGGAAAGCAAATTTGGAATCAGCGTTTGATTCTCTATACGGCATAAACCTCTCTGGAAACTCTATCGACCAAGTATCTTTCCCTTGTTACAGGCCTACTAGGCCTGGGCGGTTTTACAGTAGAGCAAATTTGAGACTTTTGCGTGCAATGCATATTTTCCAAAACGATCGTTCCCAACTCGAATTGGGAGCACAAGGACCCAAACACTTCATCTTTCCATTTCTTCCCTATTTTTTTGTGTGCAGCACAACTGCATTTCAAGCACTAGTTATCTACGAGGCACGCGCCATACTTGATCCGCTTAATCCACTTGATCCGCTTGATCCGCTTCGTCATTGGTCAGTTCACTGACTTGACCAATGACGAAGCGGATCAAGCGGATCAAGTGGATTAAGCGGACTAAGTATGGCGGGTGCCCGAGACGGCATCTATTCATCATTTGAAAGATGTGCTACTGCACGCATTTTCAAAACAACCTATGCACTGGAGGCTGGTTTTGCTGTCTGCATCAGCCAAGCTCTCGCAAATTTGGACCTACCGGTCCGTTTACAGCACTTTGACTCGCCATTTTCTATAAGTCTCTTCTTCTGTAATCTAAAATGTGCTCCCTGTCTTTCGCGCCGCGGCGCCACATTTTTTTCACCAGTAACAATGTTCCCTTTTTGCTATCTTTTTGCTATTCACTGTTGACGGTATATGAGAAACTTACATAAGCTATGGTTCTATTGGCTTGGCAGTTGAAAGGCGGGACTTTGTGACCTAAACAAGGCCGCTAACGCCCGCGACGTAGTGTGCGTCTCTCTGCGCGCTTCCTCTCTGATCACCACCTAGCCTTAGTTAGGTCACGAAGCCCCGCCTTCCAGCCACCAAGTCAGTTGATCAGAGGGTATAGTTTCTTGAAAATCAAATAAAAATTGCCGAAGAAATGCAGGGTTGACGGGCGATATTTTGCTGAAGAAGCTCACTGTGATGAGATTCATAGTTTGCACAAAAAGAAGTCATTTGGGAAAATAATCCAGAATGGACGGATCCGAAAAGAATATCAAGAAGCATAAAGACGAGCAATTACACTTTATTACATTTGCAAGGAAAAGAAATCACCGAATATACATTGAGAACATGAACGCGATCTTTTTGTATAATACACTCAACAGCTATCATCAATAACAATAAGGTAAATGCTGGGCTGTTCACAACAATGAAACAGAAAACAAAACATATATAAACTCTGTAATTAAGTTAAAGCTTGATACTCGTATGCATGAATTTATGATTTTTGGGTTATGAACTATGAGATGGCGAGGGCGATGGCCTAGAAGGCGGTTCCTCAATTTGGGCTGGTGATGATTGAGGTAAGGGCGCAGCAGCTAAAGCGTGTTGTTCTTCAGTGGACAGCTGTTGTTGCTGTTGTTGTTGTTGTTGTTGTTGCTGCTGTGGCTGTTGTTGCTGTAGGGGTTGAGGCTGCGGCTGTGATGGTGGCGCGATTACGACTTGAGCTACAGTCTGAGGAGAGCTGCCTCTTGATCCTGGTCCCAAGGGACGAGCTTGGGACAAAAGTTGTCGTTTTACAGTTACACCAGTAGCTGAAGAAAGTTGTGTTATCTTTGCAATAAAAGTACCAAAATGGGAGCTGCATCTGTGAAACACCCCACAAAAGAATAAAATATGTAACGGCAACAAGAGTGTAACGACTCAATAAGAGAGTCAACAGAAAATCAGGAATGGCTCACAAAGCAGATATGGCGTTTTGGTAGCTTACCTTCCGAGAACGGTGACGGATGTCGTACACCAGGGGCACCAGACGTCATCAGTGTGGCTCCCCCAGGTTGCCCACCCGACTGCATTGGAAGCGGCTGTGATGAACTTGACGCCGGCACGCCACTAGGTGCCATAACAACATTCATTATTCGGGTCCCTTGAGGAGTGAATCCTCGTCTGTAAGGGAAACCACGATTGACCAAATTCTTATGACCACAATAAAAAATGTTTCAAAAAAAAAAACTCACGGCACTGCACGAATCTGATGCGGTTGTCCAGACCTGGCTGGTACCATTACAGCTGTCATCTGAAAAGGCAGATTTACTGACTGTTGACGGGCGTGTAAAATGAACATTTTTAAACGCAAAAAAATGCTCACTGGAGATTTCTGTCCTATAGTTCGCTTCTGTGGCGGTAATCTCTGCGTCGAAACCATACGAATTTGCTGCTGAGGTACAACATATGGTCGTTCACCTGCTTGTGGTGCAGGTTGAACAAACATTCGCGGAGCGGTTGGCTGAACAAGCTGATATTCGACGGGGAAAATTACCATGATCTCCGTACGCTTCCATCATAAAGGTGCAGAAAACTCACTCGTTGCATGACTCTTCCCCGTTGTGGGCCACCGACGGCGGCACTTCCTGGTTGGAAAATAGTGCTGTTGCCTGGTACCGTTTGCACATTTGCCATATAGCCACCCTGCATCTACAACCCACAACATAAGAGAGACAAAATAATAAAAATGAAGATAATGACCCTGCTCAGCGAAGGCGTTGATGGAGGTGTCCGCTTCGCTTGACTTGAATTCGCAATGGACCGATAAACGGGTTGAGCGGCTTGGCCAAGGGTGATACCATCAGTTGTCCGTGTAACAAACTTCAAAACAAAACGATCGCGAATATGAAATAGTCCACAAAGCGAGAGTATAAGTTTACCTGCATCCGTGAAGCTGGCTGGAGTGAATCCTGGCTAACAACAACATAGTTGTGCTGGGTGTTTGGTGCTCCAGCCTGGACATGTTGCATTCCTGCTAAAGGAACACCACCTTGTGCATGTGGCGCAGCTCGACGGAGCCCTCCCACGGGAGAGTGTGACTGGGACAGAACACCCTAGAAATCATGTATCAGTACACATTTTCACAACCTGTCCTCTGGACTTACCATAGAGATATCTTGTCCCATTGATGGCTGCAATTGTGGCGGATGTTGCTGCTAAACAATGACTTCGTGATCTCCATTTATATTAACTAAAGTCCGACTAACCATGAGTTGTGGAACAGCTATTACTATGGGTATTCTGGACTGAACCAAATCAGGTCCCGCAGGTACAGCTGGTGGACGTACACAAACTGATATAACCGGATGTGAAGGCGAGCTCTGTATGGTAAGGTTGAAGTTAGCGGTTACCTTCACGAAATGCATAAAAATGCAACTTACCGGCCTTTCATTACTGGCCTGTTGCTCAGCTAGCTTTTTCTTAGCAGCTTCTTGAGCTAATCGTTTCTCTTCCTTAAAAACTTGAACATGGTCAAAGTAGTCAAAAACATCTCTCAACTGAATGCCAGTAACAACTGGAGGTATAAAAAAGGAAGGTATGTAAAAAAAACATGCTACCAATTCTCTCCCTCCCCTTATTTATTCTCCTTTTGGGTATTTATCACAAAAAGCTCTGAACTAACCAGGTTCTTGATAATATCCCCAGGGCACGTCGTTGAAGCATATCGTACACCAAGCACGGATAGGCGACTCTCTTGTGCGGGTGGCAAGCGACCACTTGGTTCGAGCCATCGAGGATCTAAAGAGAAGGGATTACCAAGATAATAAGGATAAAACAAGATAAACCCACCAATAGGTCTTCTCTTCTCCTTATACTCATTCTGCTTAGCGGCTAGACCCTCAATAAGCCGTAATCGTCCAGTATACGATGCTTCACGTAAACGATCAGCATCGTGTGCATACTGGAGATCTGTAGTGACACGGCCTTTGCGCAGGTGAACTACAATAAAGCACAAGACTATTATCGAGCACAACACAAGCACTGACAATTCTACACTAGATGGAGTTAGCAACATCAAAACTGAGAAAAGCATGGTATACTTCAGTAAAGTCAACTCACCGACTTCAGCTGGTGTAAGTGGAACCTTTCTGGGCTTTTTCGTCAAGGGGTCGATAACCATTAGTTGCCCGCTTTCGCGAGGTCTCACAACTAGTTGGTAACGGATTGAACATTGCCTCGGTGACCTAAACCATTTATAGATGAGGTAATCTTGCTCGAAAAGGAGAAAGTTTATTTCCACATGATACCGTTCGGAGCTCAAACATTTAAAATGATCAAAAAAAAATAAAAACAAAAAAAGATGTGAAACCCTACCTGTAGAACCTGGTCACTCTATTCACAAACCCAGAAACATATTCCCAGTTGTATCGCAGTGCTGTCTTCGTTCGCTCGAAATTATGGCACATGATTTCTTCATTTCTCACTGCCTATAGTATCTCATGTAATCAAAAAACCAAGGAATTTTCCAGTTATCTGATCGGTCTACGAGAAAAGGTACTTACAGTTAGCAAGGCCTGATCTTCGATAATATTCCACTCCGGTCCATCATAATCAAGCTCTTCTCTCACAGCCGGAGGTGGAGTGACGGGCCTGGCCAGTTCACGCCCTTTCTGTTCCACTTGACGTGGTGCGGTGCGACGTTCCTTTCTCGTGGACCTCTCTGGATGATCTTAATGACTCCATAACTTTCTCTAACTGTTATACAAAAATATTCACCATTTTTGAGTTCGCTGTATCCCTGCATGTACTGGTCGAATTCAGCCGGGGAGTAAGGAGCTGGACTATTAGCAACTGGAGGTGGAGTAAATGACTGTGGAGGATTGTGAAGTGCTTGCTGGAGCAAACTCATCACAGCCGCATCAGATGATGACATATGAGCTGTGCTGCTCATAGGCACAGGTGCAGGAGCTGAACCAGATATTTTCGAAATTTCAAGAGAAATTCGCCAAGTTACGGAATACCCACGAGTTTTCTTCACTGGGCTAGCTGGTTTGTTCAATGAACTGTAAAGTTCATGAATCTCCAATGGGAGACGTTCTTCAGGCATAAAATCACGGTCGTACAAAAGATCGAGACAGTCATCGAAGTAGAGATCATTCTCAGTATCCGACAATGGTGGTGTGGGAAATGGTGTCCACGTCTGAATGTCCAATGGCTCAGCGTTGTTGTATTATATAGTGGAAGATGCTGAACATACCGGCATGATTTGGTTGAAGAAGTCTGGATCATCAGCGAACACCTACAACTTTCGGGATAATACAATGAAGGGTTCAGAAAAAGAATGAAATTTTGCAAAGAATGTCTGTAGCGTCAATTCATTTCCAGAAGAATACTTTTGCTCATGAAAAGAGAAACTCTTGTCCTAGCAATCGTATATGTTGTCAGATTTACCTCTGCAAATATAGAGTTCTATTGTCTTTGGAAGATCTTCCCCTATCAAACATTCTCGAAATGTCGACGAAGTTACACTGACTGTCACGACAGCCTTTATAATGGTTTTAGCTTATGTTACTGCACAAGACTTGAGAGGACATTTGCAAAAAAAACTATATTTCTGAGCTATATGTGATACGGAAAAGAAGAATCTTGACTTCTGTGTAACCAATGATGGCGTATTGCCTACTTGTTAGAAGGTTGGGTTCTCCCAAAAGCAGATAGTAAGTCCTTCTCTTACATTTGCTTGTGAGGTATCAACTTCACGACTCGACTTGTTCTTTATGTGCGTATTCACAAAATTATCAACGATCATTTTCCGAAACGGATAACAGTAGAAATCCAATTCAGCTTCTCGCAGTTGAAACAATGCAGATGGTCAAAATACTTTCTTGAGTTGCAGACGGAAAATGTAGACGAAATAGTCTGTGCATACTTTAATCGAAATTTTTCTGCTGAATCGTCAACATATAGTAACAGAAAAGGGCTTGTTTGCGTCAGTGACTCATCCCTTTCTTCCAGGAACAGGTGGGTTCAGAATACGACCAAAGGATCATTATAGACCTCAAAATGAGAAACAAAACTTTCGCAAGTAACTTCTGTCAGAATAAAAGAATTCTAGCCATCGACCAAGTAAAATATGCTGATTCGCTCAACTTCTGTTATTTCCTTCCAGATAAAAAAGCAATTTTGACATAAGTCTCTCCGAAACTCATTCGATTTTTCGTTCAGTCGATGAGAACATGGACTTGCTGGAAATTGCATAACACAAATCATGCTCTCGTGATATTCCACCCGCGGCGCGCGTGCTCCGCAATCCACAGCCATTTCATGCGGTCAGCGACTCGACAATAAAAACAAAAACACCTTCCCATTATTCGATTTCAATTCTTGATCTTAGAATTAGCTTGCAATGAGGTCTTTCTCAATTATTTCTTTGGCCCGTCCACGTACGTTGATGTGCCGCTACGGTATGGTGAATCGCACACGATGCGACGTCGCCGCGCGTCGACTGCTACCTCAGGACATGTCGGCGGCGGCGGCGGATCGCTGAGCGACGGACCAGACCGCAACCGCACATGCGCGACGCACAATCAACGCGGGTCGACGGCCACCAGCGATACATCCAACGCGCATCGAACACACATCAATATACGTTTATCAAACGATCCAAATGTCAAAAATCAACACACATTGGTGAACAACGACCTCTCAGTCAATAATCAACAGTAAAACATACAAAGATAGGAAACAAAGTACCGAACTTGTGCCACTATATTATAAACAACCAAGGGATATATCGTAGCACCGGATGTGAACTGCTGAGTCAAAATTTAGCTAGGTGTAAGTTCAGAACAGTTTTGGTTATGTGGGAAAAATAACGGGATAGAATGAAGTGATATTCTAAAGGCACATAAAAACCGTTAGAACGGGTATGAGATGAGATCGCGCAGAAAACAAGAACGAAATAATGGTGATGAATGTGACAGACTGACAAGCTGAAACAGAACGAAAATAATAAACGAGTGTGAGCAGAATATATAAATACAAAGAAAACGTTTGCCCTAGTGTTGCCCCGACGCTGAGGATGAAGAGGAGGAATCTGGTTGAGACTGTCCAGCGGTGCGATTTGTACGGAACTGCAGCCTTGGCCTCTCGTACTCACCAAGTCCAGGCCGTTGTATGATCCTCGGCTGAGCTGCGACAACTTGCGAATTCCTGGACTGCACTATCAAACGACGCACTGGCATCGCTGTCGGTCCTGTCCGTAACACCGGATTCGAAGCGGATCGCACCGTGACGACTGACATATTGTCGGCGCTGCGACTGACAACCACATAGCGCTGCTGTGGGCGATTCGGCGACTGCGCAAAAACAGGGGCTCTGGCTGCATTTGCCCGTCGAACGAGTATTGGAGAAGAATGTTGAACAGATTGGCCATTAAGACTAGGCTGACGAGAGACTGACGGAGAAGTATGTAAGATCCGAACAGGAAGACGGACCGGAGAAGACTGAGAAGGAGGAGGACGCGGCGATACCGAATTAGAATTCTGATTTGGAACGCGAGAAATGGTGCGAACTGGAAACCGGGCCTGAGGAGAATTAGTTTTGAAAGGAGAAGTTGGAAGATTAATTGGAGAACGTAGAGCAGCGGGCACGGAAGACGAAGTTGACGGAGATGAGGTCGCAGGCGAGGTAAGAACACTACCAACTATAGTCGACGGCTTCAAGCAGGGGGTAGATGCTGACGGTTGAGGAGAAAGCTTCTTGTGAACGGGTGTTGCTGTCTCCGTCTTCGGTACTGGTGTCGATTTCTGCGCGACATGAGTGGTTTTGGCGGTCTGCGTTTTGCTCTGTACTTCTTCAGATTTGACTTCATCTTTCTCAGCCTTCGTTCCTTGACGAGCACGTTTCTTCTTCACTTCATGATTTGTTGGAGAAGAGTGCCGCGAAGGTGTTGACGATGGCGTACCGCACTTCTTCTTGCTCCGGCTTTTCTTATTCTGTCCATTCTGTCCACTGGAAGCAGCAGCGGCTGCTGCCACCCTAGCAGCAGCCCGACGAACTGCGGATCGCGCGGCACTTTGAGCAGACGACTTTACAGGAGACATAGGAGTGGTAGAGCGTAGATTACGGGATGGAGAAGAAATATTTGGCGATGAAAATGTTTTTGGAGCTATAACACGACGACCAGAGAAAGTTTTCTTAGGAGAGTTACTACTTTTGTTATGAGCGGGTACAGCTAAACGTTCAGAATGGCGAGAAGGTGCATTTTTTGTAGCCGGTGTACCCGTGCCGTTGTAGACGCGACCTTTACGACGCGATCGTACCTCATCTAACAGCAATCCTGCTCCATAAAAGTCATCGTCGACCGTAGCTGAATCTTCTTCTTTCTCCGGATTTTCTCCATCGCCGTTGGTCAGAGCTTGGTTGTGAGCTTTCACCCATTCTTCGCGTTTTTGCTCGATTAAGGCCTAAATAAAAATTTGCTCGTAAGGTTTTCTGCACGATTAATGAGATTTTTTGGGACCACCCGCTTACCTGTGCCTCCCTAACTTCCTCATCAAATTCTGGTTTGTATTCTGCTTCAAGGAAGTTTACCGCATACCGCTCTATTGGTTTTAGCTAAATCGAAGAGAATATAAGTAAAAAGATGAGATGAACAGCAAATCGGAAGATCAACGCACCTGGCTGATGAGCTCGATATACTTCTCATCCAGTGGTTCTTCATTGTCCAGATTACTTTGGAAGATACTTTCACCAGCATTCACATTCTTCGACTCGTCAAACTCCGCTTTATCAGCTCTGCTCTCAGCAATGACAATCTTTGCAGCCGCCACATCTTGCTCATCCTCCAGTGTCGCCATAGCCTAAATTAATGTTTTATCTCCAGCACGTTGTATGGTATAAATTTCTCTTTACCTTCTCCACGTCCTTCTGACTTTTAGGGCCTTCGGTAATCTCGATATTTCCAACATCTAACTCGCCATCGAAGAGATCACTGAATACAAGTGCTCCACCAAATAACTACATGGTTGGTGAGTTACCTACCGTATATTATCAGACTGTTTGAAGAATTCTGGTGTGAAGCCAGCTTCATCGATTGCCATTTCACCTAGTCTACGTTTCTGGTTTGCTTTACGTAAGATGTTCTCCTCTATAGTTCTTTCTGAGATCAAACGGAAGATAGTGACATTTCGCGTCTGTCCAATCTGAAAATCATGCTTTTTATTCATCAAAAATCAGCATGCTATATGAGAACCTTACCCTATGACATCGGTCCTGAGCCTGCGCGTCCATTGTAGGATTCCAGTCAGAATCGTAAAAAATCACAGTATCTGCACCGGTAAGGTTCACTCCTATACCACCAGATCGGGTTGAAAGGATAAAACAAAAAATCTTCGCATCAGCGTTGAACCTCTCCATCATTGCCTAAAGGACGGCTTTCTCCTATGTCTGAACATGCAATCCAACGCAGAACCAACCTGTCGCTGCTCTATGCCAGTAGTACCATCCAACCTGAAGTATTGATACCCGTGATATGAAAGAAAAGCTTGAAGTACATCTAGCATCCGCGACATTTGCGTAAAAATCAGGCAACGATGTTTATTTACGTATAAGCGACGAAGTAAACGAGCCAATGCTTGCAACTTCCCTGGAAAACCACATTTTTACAAAAAAGAGTCATTAACTTAAGAGCCACTTTCAATCACTTACCACAATCGTACTCAATGAGTCGAAGTTCGGGAAACTGCATCTGCGATGAGACTAGAGCCATGTGTGTCAGAGGATGTGCTAAGGACAGGAAGTCTCGGGAAGCAGTTGAAAGTTCTTCATCAATGGATCGGGTATAGTTTCCGCGCCCCGTGTACGAGCTCCAAAGCTGCGGTATATCGGCCACAGCTGGGCTCACCCACATCCAGAATCTTAAGACAACCATGACATTTTATTCAGCACGCCAAGCGTGTTTATTCTGGACTCCTAACAAAAAGTGCGGTTTTTTTGTCGAAAGGGTGGTATGCAGACCGTCACACAACATGACATATCTTGAAGACGTTAATAAATAACTCAACCTCTGAATAATAAAAAATTTTTTGTCAGCAAAAAAGAAAAAATACGGCTAATCTCGCATAGCAATCCATTTGCAAAGGGTATCACAGATTTTGAAAACAGTAAAAAAAAACACTGACAGAAAAAAGTAACTAACCGTTTCATTGCATATTCTGTCCAACAAATAAATTGTTCGCGAATGTCGAGGGAAACCGAGCTATCGTCTGAGCGATGCACCTCTTCATCTTCATCCAAACCGATCTAAAATTATATCATTTTTCATTTATTTAACTAAATTTTGCAATCACAAAACTACCTTTGTCAGAATCGCTTTACGAAGCATAGAAACCAGCTGCGTCGAATAGATCGGTTTCTGTTGACATTCAAAACGCTCAACAATCCTTTGCAACCGCAAGCGATTGCTTTCTTCCATACGTTGCAGGACTTCGACCTAATGAAAATATTTTCGACGTCATCAAGTAAAACAGGTGAACGTGAAAATTTACCGGGACTAGATCAGCAAATTCTCCAGTAACAAGTTCATAATCCGGTGTATGAGCTCGCCGTCGCTTTAATGGTGGGCTTAGTCGGGCTGCTATTTCCTCAATGTTTTCGCCCAAGTCATTACATTCGTGGGTGCCGCCATTTTGCATAATGTGGTGGAATCCAGCTTCTGTAGTCGATACTGTCAGCGGCGCCACGTTCGAGATCGATGTTGAGCATTGAAGAAACGGCTATAAGCGATATTTTTTCCTGTCACTAGAATCGACCTTCAAAAATCCTACATGTATGTTCGTGCTTGATTTGATCGCCGACTTGCCAAAGGTCACCCTATCGGATTTGACGGCGTCCACACTGGAAGTTATTGATGCTGTAGAAGCAGCTCTACCAGGCATTGCTGCTATAGCCGCTGGTGCGGGATTAGCCACTTGGGAAACAGGCACGGGTGCATTTCCACCAGCTGCCTGCTCCGCTGCCCTCGTTACCTCTCGCAAAGTCTTTTCGCCGGTGGGGCCAGTCACAACCTATATGGCAATGTCGTTGAAAATTAACATATAGCTAAGAAGGATCTGATCTTGAACTTGATTTCAACTAACATGCCAATAAGTCAACGCTCCTACCTGACATAATTTCGCTCCTCGTCCTTGTTGTTTGAGACCGTCCGCATCCAGCACTAGTCGACCATCGTCCACCCGTACCCGCATAGGAACAGGAGCTCCTGAAGTACAAGATAAGCGTGTTATGAACAAAGGTCGAAAGAAATAAGAAATGCTGTCAATGACCGAGGCTCTCCCAAAAACGGGAAACAAGCTTTTCAGTTAAGCAATGACTGACCTCCACTGTTTCCAAGAATGCTTTCAATATCATCACCATCTCGCACAACTAGCACCATTTCATCCTGAGCAAAACCAGCTTTCTGTAATTCTGCCGCACTTACATCCACTACGGATGCAACTTCTGGCGAAAGAGCTGTGCTGGCCACACCCTTAATGATGATTTGTTGTTAAATGACCTGGGAGTGAACAAAGAGGTTCTCGTACCGTTCCACTGCTGATAGGCCTGTGCAGCCGAAATCCTTCAACAACAGGAGGAGGTGTATCATTTGATTCAGCCAGTTCTTCAACCAAGGGAGGTCGTCCAACCTGTTAGAATTTAATTCAAAGTAGAAGGAGAAAAAAGAAGCACAAAGACGTATCGTAAGAACGAGTAGGTGATTTGTCAGACTTACCGTTGCTGAGCTCACACCGGTAAATCGCTTCCGCAAGTCGAAAAATGTTGGAAGGTCACGGCCGAATTCCTTCTCATCCAGATCCATTATCAATCCTGGACATGTGAAGCGCAGATGATGTAGACATAATGGTGATTGAACTGCGCGTGGTTCGAAGAGGTTAGGATGATTGCAACACTGCAAACAGTAATGTACCGAATTGAAGATGAAACAGATCAAGCTACCTACCTTTCTCAACTGCATGACGATATTGAGTACAGAAAGCATATTTCCCGACTTCAGATTGTCCCGAGTACTAAAAAAAGAATCTTGAGATGAAATAGAATATATTTATTTTCAAACATACCTCCGTTGACTCATGAAGTCGTCATACAAGTACCTTTGCCTTTTAGACAGTTGGCATTTGATAACGTGCTCGGTTTTTTTCGGAAGTTGCTTTTCTACTTCACTTTTTAGCCTACGCAGGATGAAAGGTCGTAGCACCTGAGAAAATAACAAAATGAGAGAGAAGCTGCTCTATAAAAAAAAATCCCTATTGACTTACTTTATGCAGCTGCTGCACCAAAGGGGCATTAAACTCCACACTCCCATCCATCATCCCAGTGAGAGGGTTGCTGAACCAATCTTTGAAATCGTCATGACTGGCAAAAATAGCTGGCATCAAAAAATGCATGAGCGACCAAAGCTCCATAAGAGAATTTTGCAATGGTGTGCCTGAAAAATAAAAAATGTAAAAGTGTGCAATAAACTGTGAATTGAACATGGGCGAAATTTTAGACGATGAAGGCGCGTACCTGTTAAAAGCAACCGTCGCCTAGCTTTTACATTCAGTAACGCTTGCCATCTTTGGCTTTTCCAGTTCTTGATGTTCTGGGCCTCATCCAGTATGAGATATTGCCAAGACTAAAACTATTCCAATAGAAAATCAAAGAGAAAAAACACAAAAGACAAGGAACAGGGAATTTCAAGACAAGGAAGTTATAGTATGCGAGCTTACTTTCATTTTGAACGCCCTGATATCTGTGGTGACAGTCTTATAAGATGTTATGCACACGTGGAATGCATTCGGCTTTGACCAACCCTACATAGAAAAAGAAATTTATGTACAATGATGATGACAAAGAATGGAAGTTGACCACCAATTCTGCAATCAAACTACACCTTTCGTTTCTCTGCTCGATCTTTTTGAGCTCCGAAATAGGTCAGAATTTTGAAAGCTGGACACCATTTTTTGAGTTCCATCTCCCAATTCAAAATGACTGATGTTGGCACGATGATGAGATGAGGACCCCAAATTGATTCACAGCACGCGAGATGAGCCAGTAAAGAAATCGTTTGGATAGTCTTTCCCAAACCTATAAACAAAGAATTTGACTGCTGAGGAACAAACATGACCGCAAACTAGGGAAGAAAACGAGAAGAAAGACAAACGGGTAAGCAGAAAATTATTACCCATTTCGTCTGCCAAAATTCCATTGAGGTTCTTCTCGTACAGAGTAACCAGCCAGTCTAGCCCTACCATCTGATATTCTCGCAGAGTTCCTCTAATCAAGAAAGGCACGGCCGTTTTAACCTGTAACAATGAATCAAATAAAAATGAAAAATATAGCCCTTTTTGCCGAGATGCCACAAATTATCAGAACCTGCGTAGTTTCCAGCGTGAAACCTTTTGGTTGAAACTTTAGCGCAGCTTCTGCAATGTTAGCTAGTTCCTGTTGTCGTTCATCGCTGTTGACGCTGTTCAGTTTAGCGTAGTCTATACTTTCCAACATCCCTCGACCATCACCATTACCCTCCTAAAGCAAACAGGTAGTAGACGCAAGATAAGAGAAAATGGAATAGAACTCACTACACTGCCTGTATGCTCCTCAACTGTTTCCGACTCGTCTTCATCTACACTCATTTCCTCGTCCTCGTTACGTTTATTCGTTTCTTCAGAAGATGTAGTAGGTGGTACATCGTTGCTTTTGGTGGCATTGCTGTCCTCATCTGATGCCTCTTCAAGTTTCGGACGTTTCGCTCTTGTTCCTTCACTGGCTTCCTCACTCGCTTTCCGCGCCTATTATAGGTTTGCCCACGATCAAGCAACCAAATTTCACCAAATTTCTCACCTTTGCTGCAAGCTGGATCTCCTCTAAAGTCTTATCATCATCCTCTCCTTCCGAATCGGCTGGAGATTCGGTAGCTGGGGCAGAGTTAGTAGTATTGCTCGATGGTAACTGTACTCCTATTGCAGCCAGATATTCAGGAGGTAACTAAACAATCACAAAAATATGGGAAGAAGCAGTTGGCACGACCGAAGAAATTGATAGACATAGGAGATAAACTCATAAAACCCGAAGTATAGGCAAATCCAAAACATATGCTGAAAATCAGGAAAAAAATCTTTACCGAAGCTAGAAAATCGTCCAGATCTTCATCCGCTTCCTTATTCAATGCTTTAACTTCCTCTCGAACATCTTCGTGTCGTTCTTTCATGGTCGCTTCTTCTCGTTCTATCGTCATCTCGTCGTCCGATTCCGACTCGCTCGCACAAAAATCAGCATCATCATCTGGGATAAGAAGTATGTTTCTGACCAAACATTTATGGGTGACAACTCACTTTGGTCATCGCGCGATGCCCTTGACGGAGTTTTGGACCCCCGATCATGAGCTAAGCCTTCTTGTACCATAGAACTAAGTTTATCAGCTTCACCCACAATAAAAGCCATATGAGCATCAAGCGCTTTTCGCTTTTTTGATTCCAAGATTTCCTTAAACATTGGGATTCAGAGAAAAATGAACCCTTATTATGACTGTATAATCGAAGATATGTCATAGAACGGAAAATCGCAGACCTGTGCTCGATGCTCAACGACTTTATCCACACTTTGCCAAAAATCGCGAACCATCTTCGCGATGGAAGCGCAGATTCTTTTGCCATCCTGAAACAAAAGACATGAATGATAGAAAGCATGCCAAAGATTGACTAATGCAGACTGATCTACAAAAAGGCAAGTATTGAGCTTACCCTAATCAATCGCGCGTGTGCTTTTTCTTGATCGTTCTCATCATCTTTTCGTTGTTTTTGGATAGCAGCGGCAATCTGTAGGAAATCAGGTACTCGTGCAGATCTAGGATCATGACGAACCGACCTTTCGCGCGATATTTCTCTTGAAATGTCTTTCCATCCGGAAATCTGTTGCCATCCATTTCACTTCCTCTAATACGTAATCCCAATGGGTTTTGTTCCTGGGTGGCTCAACACACAACGGCAGGCGACTAGCCGTCCATAGACCAGCTCGGCGCAGTTCCGCTATCCTCATCATCACCTGCGCTTCCTAAAAAAGGTTCTACTTCGTGCTACAAACGGAGACTTGAAGGACTAACCTGTTTAGCCGCTTTCTCAACATTTGATTCTGTTGTATTCACCGACAGAAGAGAATGCGATGTGCCAGGAGGAACTGAGGGCGTCTACAAGGTGTTCCGTTTACTAAAACGATTTACACCTTGACAAAAACTCTCACCGGTTGTGGTTCTTCTACCTTCACCTCAATAGGCGATAATCGAGATGGTGATGTGCGTGTTTGATCTGCAAAGCCTTCATTACTCAATGGTCCCATAAAACTGCAAGTTTTTATTCACAAACCACGAGTCCGAGTACGAGATGAACGACGCGGAGATCCATGCTCGATCGATTTCATAACCTCATTTGTTACCCTAAAACGACAACAACTGAGGGCAAAAATCCGTATTTGTGCACTAAAGAAGAGACTTCATGTTACCGCTACATGTTCAGAAAGTCAAAAAGTGAAATCTGGCCACGTGACAGCAAGTGATGAAACACGAACCAAGTTGGAAAGACAAGTATGTACGTGAATGTAACCCACCGACTTTCCAGTTCCGCTAAGTCATGCTCCAGTTGTAGCGCTCCTTTCGTTGTGCTTTTCTCTTCGGCTGCTCCCACTTTATTTCTTTTCGTTCTACAAGGAATCAGTGTTTCATCGAAATATGCTTGTCATCTTGCAAAGCATAGCTGATCAAAACATCTCTTAGGTATTCTGCGGACAGTATGAAAATTACATGCACAAAAGCATGTTATGTAGAAAAATCGAATATTTCGTTATGTGGGTCTCGGATCGTATATCAAGAAAGTTTTCCAAAGTTTATCAAGATAGTAGCACGAACTTCCCAGAATATCCGCTCATAAGAGCGTAAAAACAGCCAAAGTTGCGAGATGCAAAATTTACTGCAATTCCGATTTACTGCGCTGAAATTTACGCAGGGAATCTGTACAAACAAACAAAGTTATTCATAACGACTACTCGCATTGACAAACGCTCTGCTGCAAGCCGTATTGGCCGAAAATAATAGGCGACGTGATTCTGATTTCAGCGTCATAACTTGCGAATATTTTCAGCTACATCAACTATTCAGTCGGCTATTCTCCACTCGCAACAGATGATAAACAGAGCAATCAATAAAGAATAAAAATTCAAGACTTACATATTCCCACGGGCAGTGCTAGTGAAACGCATGAATCGCATGACCATGTCGTAGTAAAGCTCATTGCGCCGCAAACTACCTGCATGCTGGGCTGATGATGTCTGTAATAGATTTTTGAAAAAATCAGAGAAACCTTCTTATAAAACTCAGAGCACATTTATTTTCTCGACCCTTAGAGAATAATGAATTTGTATAGAATGACCGCTGATGTACTACTACTCAAGGTAGGTTTTCGTTTTGGTACAGGTAGGAGAAAACTTGTAATACCTCTCCATAGAACCTATACCGTGCCAAAATGTAGTTTTCGTAAACAACACATGTTGTTAAATTTACAAAAATGAAAACTGAATTCACAAAAGATTTTTTGTAAGAGACAACAACTTTCTACAAACCTCTTGGCTCGTTGATGGCTCATCGGCTTGCTCATTGTGAGTCGCCTTACGGGATGGCATCAATGTGTGTAACCGGAAGAAGACCTGAATGAATATGGATGACGCGAGGAATGCATATAATTAGTGCAAGTCTCGACGATAACAGCTTACAAAAAAGTGTGTACATAATCAGATAAGTATGCACCATCAATTGGCTACACTTAGAAAGAAATGGACTCATTAAAAAATCTACACATGAGGTATAGCGAAAATAGTACGATGTGAATGAAATATATTTATTCACTTTCTGCTAAGCACAAACGGAAAGCAAAGCTGCAACTATTTAGGACCACAAGCGTGTATATGCCATGAATGCGGCGATGAATTCACCTATCGTCATTTTCTGACCAGTATACATTTTTTTCTCACAAATACTAAGATGTTTTCAATGGAACTCATTTCCAAGCATAACTTTCTATAGATTAGAGTGGAGACTCACGCTCGAAAAAAAGTCCAAGACCTTAAGAATTCGCAACCAACGATACCAAGGACACTACGAATCGATAGACTATGGCACTTGCAGAATGTATATAATAACACTCGAAAAGATTGGCCTAGCGATATTCTCTGAATAAAAAAAAGACCAATCGATTATTAACCTTCTTCTATAATTGGGAACAAGCTGATTTCGCTATAATTTCTAGTTTCTAAAACATATGAAGTGGAACAAATGGGAAAACATTACCACCATCTAAAACACGCGAAGGCGAAAAATTACGTCAACACGTAAACAAAAACAACAGCTGTTCAAACAAGATATCCAATTTATAAGTGGACAGTATTCTCACAAAAGTGATTTTGTTCACTTCTATGAAAACACAGCAAGTAAAACGCTGGAAAGCTCAATCCTTGCCCTGAACGCCAATCAAATGGGAAGTTTTATTTAGCAAACTATCATCTATCTCAAATATTTCGATTATCTAAAAAAACTAAAAAATATTCGATGACAAGAACAGTTCTGATAGACATCCTAAGTTTCAGACCTTGTCTAAGTAATAAAAGTGCTCCTTTCCTGGTTCGCGATCTGAAATCATGACTAGAAACAAAATCATTCAATTCTGGAACTGTGCTGTAATGTTTAGTAAAATATGGATTACAATTAACAACCGCAAATTATAGTATCAGACAACTAAGAATTGACCTTTAAAGGCGCAGCCAAGGCAGATTAAAGACAGAGAACGAAAATTTCAACATGAAAATGTAGAGTCGCAACTAGAAAACACTATTCCACGCTCATACTCTTACATATTTTATGCAACTCAGTGGCAGTCTATGACGAGCATTGCGTTATTGATTTCAAAGCGGTGAAGTACAATAAAAGCTGTAATTTACTTGATGTGGGGGCAAAAACTGGCACATATCGATCGATGCCCTAGCTGCAAAAGACATTTTCAATTCCTTTTCATGCACTGCGCAAAGCGAAAATTTGGAGCATTTCAAACTCCGGTTTGCACGGGAGAAAAAGATGCAAAAATAGGCACTTTCTAAGAAATGTTGGAAATAAATAAGGAGCTCCTCATGATTATGAATTCCAATGTTCAGCTACTAGTGCAGATATTTAAACATGATGATGTATGGAATTTTTGTGTTTTTATTGAGCGCACAACGACTCTCATATCGATAAGACAAAAAATAAAGTAGCATACAAAGCACACTTTTCGTGTCTGAACGGGATAATTTTTCTCAATATTCTTTCCTGAGAGGCTCCAGATAAAAAAGAAAATTTGGTCAATTAGGTAATAATAGCTATATGATATGCCTCCAAAGCATTCAATCGGAGTGAGAACCAGCAAAATCTCCAAAAAACTTCTGTACTTGCTTTATGGAATAAATATTTTATTTCAGAAGCCTGAGGTTCAATGAAATGAGAACTTAAAACTTGCTAAGCCGTGGCAACCATATAAGGGGATATTATGATTCTTCATTCCTCGAAGAAAAACATGGAAACTGCAGATATCATGATACGGATTGTAGTGACAACAACTTTCTGCACTACTGCTGCAGAGCACTCGCACTTCCCCAAGCCTATTTCATAACTTTTGATGAATGCACAGGAAATCAATTTAAGCAGATGAACAAAAGCGGATAATGCAAAAAAGAAGGAAAGAAGGAAAAAAAGAGAAAACTAACTTCTTCCCTCTGTTCACATCTGCGACACAATGAAAATTTTCCTATTTAAACCAAACTCAAAGCTAACAGCAACTGAGTGCTTCCCATGATTTTCACGTGATCATAAAGCTAAATTTATATAACTCGTTAAATGTGAAATATGACGACTCAACGGTAGAAATCGAAAGCCCCTCAAATGGATAGTTAAACTTAGTTCTGTTAGATGAGAAACACAAATAAAAGCAGGAAGATCAGCAATAAACCGCAAAAATGCGATAAAACAGGCAGAAACAAAAGGAATTTCTTCATGAAATCGTTTATGCTTTGCTAGACGATCAATACTGCATCTATCCACTGTTTTTCAGACTACTCGTGATGAAACATTCAAACTTTGTTGAAAGCCCGGAGAGCGTTGCCGAGCACTGGCAAATGATGACGTAGGCGAAGCTGGGCTCGTGCGGCGCGATTGCAACGCGTATGTTGCTGCTCGCGCGAAATTTGAATCAATTCTTATACGCAATTGCACAACGCAACTCCATGCTACAGTAAAGATAATGGAAAATTCAAAAGAAAATAGAATGAGTATCTGACGTCCATTCTGCAGTTGGGATACTCACGCTTTGCATACGTTCAATTAACAAGTTCATGATTGTATTTTGACCCGTTTTGACTAATTTACTTATTGGAATTCGTGAGAACATGTGCGAACTTGTCAAACAACATGTGCAACAGCATCCTCCCGTACTACGATAGTTCGCACAATGTATAGTGCATCCCCAGATTTGTCCCTTAGGTAACATCAACGTGGCTCCTTTCAATCGTTTTAACATGTTGACTCGAACAAATTTGAGGCGCTTATTCGAACTTGACATGTTGGAATGATCGAAAGGTAGCCAAATTGACAGCATCTAAGGGAACATTTTTGGGGATGCACGATACTAGGAACTCAAGTACGCTTTGCTTACGTTGTCTGAACAAACTCAATCCTGTTGATCTTGTGGTACCCTAAAATCCGTACAGTAAGTCCGCCTATCAGATAAGTTTATACTTGTGATAGATCTTGTTTAGGATACTCACTACTTTAAGCCAGAAGAGAACAAGTTTGAGCTTATTTGTGGTGCATCCCCCGAACTGTTACCATATGAGCCATCAACGTGATCGTCTTTTTATCATTTCAACATGTCAACGTTGAATAAGCGCCTTGAAGGCAGCATCCACGCAAATGTGGACATATGGGGCTCTCAAGTAGATCGTAATTTTGAGGCCCTAACTAAGCCACTAGCCAAGCGGCAGCTCAGTTAGTGTGGTGTAGGCCTTTTTGAACCCTTCGCGCGCGACGCTCGTGTCGTCGCGTGCGGCGTCGCTGGCAAAGTTAACAAGTCGCATTTACAGTCAACGGGAAAATTTTTAGTTCGAAGTATGCAATATAATATCTCCTGCGTGACGATACCTACCTGTTTACCTTTTTTTACCTTACCTGTTTCAAAACCTCTCATCATGTTGGACACGAAAGATGTGCAAAAATGAACGAGTATTAACTCGTTATTGCAGTGGACATGTTGACCAATCAGAGGCGCGCTATGATAGCGAGCGGTTCAAAAGGGCCGTTTCCCCGGTTAGTGCTCTAATGGGGTCGCCTCGAAAACTGGACCCCGGAATCGTATTTCGCATAAATTTATGGCACAACCCATGGCTTGCGCGAAAGTGATGGGTTGCGCCATGAATCCATGCGAATACGATCCCGGGGTCTAGTTTGGAGGCGAATACCTCAATCGTTAGTGCACTACCTGAGCTGTCGGTTGGTTAGTGGCTGGAGTCAACATGTTAAAACGATCGGAAAGCAGCCACGTTGATGGTTCACATGGGAACAATTCTGGGGGATGCACGATAAACGTGAGCAAAGCTTTTCGAGTTCAATAGTTCTAGGATGAATGACAATCTATTTGTATATTTACAGAGGTGTAATAGCTGACGTATAGTTCATTTATAAAATCGTGACGAGGGCTTTGACTGCGGTCTTTGCGCCCAAGGGAACATAGAACGCTCATACAAAAAGGCATCACCTCAACACTTAGCTCAGTCACATCCAGTGTGTAAATACTATCATACGTAAGCAGAAAACCATTCGAATAGAGATGAGATCCAAAGAAAATGCGACTGTCGGAAGGTGCGTGCGTGTCGCACGCGGCCGCGCCATCGTCACGATTTTTCGAATGCCCTATAGCTTTGAGAGCACAATATTTCTGGATTTGCTTCTCCTTTAAGCCTACTGCTAGGAGAGAGAGAGAGAGAGAGAAGCAATTTTTAAGTATAATTTATAATAACATCAGTTTTAGACACGTTTATTGGCACAAAAATAAACTGGTGAAAGCTAGATACCAATTACTGATTGTAAGTTTTTTGCAATCGAATGTGGCACCTATAAGGGTCAGCACCTGCTGCGAAGGAGCTGCAGTAGATAAACTTCTCATTCTAGCTGAAAATATACGCAATTCATGACACGCAAAGGCGCAAAGACTAAGCGCAGTTGCATCTGATCAAGATAGTTCGTGCATGAAGGAGACAGCGGAGGGTATCAGAGAGACGCCGATACGTCCGCAATCCTTGCGTGCTACGAACCGCCTATACTTGTGGACCGGACTTCAGGAACGCGCAAGATGGCATGCACAGCATCTACAAAAACTATTGCTGCGTACACTTTATATGCTTACACGATTCAAAGTCCTTGTGTGCTTACTAGCATGTATCCACTGAAGTGTTAATCGCTAGAATTGTCAGACAAAATCAACAAGAGGTAATCTCAATGTCGATAATTCTCCCATCGAAGTGACCTGTATGCACAAATGTACGCAAAACTGTTACTAATTGTGGTTTTGATAACAAGTGATAACAATGCACATTTGGTAGCACACATCACAGCAAAAAGAGATATCCTTTTCCAACCCTAAAAATGATTCCTAGATAGAGACATGCAAACAGAAGACAAGGATGAACTAAACTGATCATCAAAGATTATAAATGAAGAATTCAACTAGAAGATTGCCGAAAAATTGCGAGATAACCATAACCAGCAGGAATAGTCAACAACATGGCCTCACTAAGGCCAACCACAGAAATTAAATTATTATAACAGAGTATCACGAATCCCAACGCCTTCCAGCATCAGACCGAAGCTGAAAGTGATAAATGAGAAAATGTAACAACGAATCCTTCGAAAATGATAGATATCACAGTACGAAGTGGAAAAATTCACTATCTGGAAACTTCTAACTAGTATGAGTCTTCTTCTTCGACATTTTGCTATCCACTGCATCCATGATGAGTCCTGAGAAAACTATGAGAGTCGCCCATTTCTGCCTCTCCAGCAGCGAATGGTTCATAAATACTACAGAGATGATTATGGTGAATAATTTGCGAGTAGTGGTGATCACAGAGCAAGTGAGCGGTGAAAACTCGCTTATCGTCTTGAAGATGAAGTACTGTAAAATTCCAAATTATCAAACGATAACATAGGATGAGCTATTGCTTGCAAAAGCGAACACTAGTCATTGCACACTTTGTACACCTCAGGCAGGAAAAAAGGTACTCGAATCATGTAAATAACCCAAAAAACAGTATCAAATTCAAAAAATTGGCAGAATGATGGAACTGTATATAAAAGCGGAGAATTGTTACAAATGATTATTCCAAACGTCATGACAAATGGAGCTGAAAGAAAAGACAACACCATAAAAATCGAATCGTTCACCTGTCCACCACAGCTCGATGCGGCTACAAAACATAAATCAAACAATACATAAGGATGGCGTTCAACAAATCCGAGAAATTGGAAAAGTTCACCCGTAGCAACTAACCTAAACAACAGTATAAGAAGGTGTAAAATCCAAAATATCGGAATGACGAACCCGATCATAAGGTAGATAGTAGAGAAAAAATTCATATAGAACATCATGCTAAGTGTACTTCTTTTGTAACTTTTATTTATTCTGTCTTGAATCGATGTAGTTGTTCCATCCATTGTTAATGACAACAACTAAAAGCAGTTTGAGGTAAATTCTATGTATAACTGAGATTTGACAGAACAGGACTCAACATACCAGTAGTAATTCTCCAATCCCTACTTGCTTCTCCGTTGTTGATTTCTTGTCTTTGTACAGGAACATGGCTACACCCGCCACAATCATGAGAATAAAGACATATTTTCTCCATGAGTACTTTTTCCCAGCAAATAGCACACCAAAAATAAGAACCGGAATAGGTTTGCATGATTTTGCAAGAACCTACAATTCAAAAATCATCACAGTTGACAAAAAGTTTCAGGGCAAACGCACCTGAGTAGGATACGGAAGATACTGCAAAGCTTGGTTACTACAAATCATTGCAAGGAGGTAGCTACCAGCGCATACGCCATACATTCTTGTAGGAACCGTGTCTACATCCTTTTTCGGTCTAAGTACCCAAGCGAAAATAGTATTTGCCACACACAAAAAGAACACAAGAGCTTGCGTAAACGTGAATTTCTCCCCATTTGGATACTTTCCTTGAACGCTGAAACAGTATAATAAGGAATTGCATAACGAATCTTGAGAAAGAACATATGAAAATAAATGATTTATCCAACAGCAGCATAGATATTGGCGTCAAACTATACAAAACTAGGTATAAGGTTGGTGCAAAAGTAATGCGTGTTTTGCGAGTTCTCACTTGGCGTGCTATAACTTCCCAAAATTCTCATATTTTCAAATGCGATGAGGACCATTGAAAGCAGCAAACTTTTCGCAATACAGCGCACGTTTACCTATACTCATATCATAAACCGAAAAATATGGACTGATAAGCAAGAAAAATTTCTTTGGAAACCCCGTTTTTTACCCATACTTTCTTTAGAAATGTTTTGTAGCAGCAAGCCAGTAACCAAAAAAAAGATGGAAAGGGCTCAAACAAAGAAGGATAGAGCATGAAAAGAGCTTCTTGATAGTGTGCTAAGGTTTTTTCAAAGAATGAAAGGAAAAAAGTTGTCTGAAACAAGGGCTAGAGAAACGCGCATTACTTTTGCACCAACCTAATGAAACCACACTTCTGGATTGTAAAGAAGTGTACACCATCAGCAGCGCGAATCTGGTTTGTCTCAAAGACTAGCATTTCTAGAAGCATTTTTTCGAAGTGTTTCGAGAAACCTATCGCTGCACCACTTTCCACAAATGACAATGCTAACGTGAGTTTAGTTTCGATTTGCAACAAAAGTTGAAAAATGAACTCGTTTTAGAAAATCATAAACATTGGATAAAAATGTATCACACTTACATGCGTTCCTGTTGTATACCAAAATAAAAATAACATATGAGAATGCCACCAGCACACAGAAGAAAATGAAATGCTTCAACAACTGTTGATCGATTCGCTATTTGAGCTTGAGCATCGGGTTTTAATCTACCGATATCATCATCAAGTTGTTGGTATTTCGCTGATGACATCTGAAAATCAAGATATCTTTATACACCTGCACGAAGATGAAGAGCAACAGAGTCGGCGACGAGGTATTTTTATTTTGTGATGATAACAAAATGCATGAAAAACTTAGACAGTATGATGAGTGTGAAATATGGAATGTTATTTCAAATAAGTATTCTTCAAAATAACAAACAGCACTCTGCAAAAGATCTTCCCAACTAACAATATGAAAAATGACACGAACTTTGTAATGAAGTATTCCTCCATCCCATACATGACAACGTGGCCGAACTGACATGGAATGAAGGAAATGACCGTTGAAAATTCTGAGCAGATGTTGGTCGCAAGGTTTATTTGGCTAACGAGGTCAACGAGAACGGGAATTAGGCGAATGCCCGCATGCCACGGCGGGTGTGGTGCGGAAGGCGACAAAACCCAGCAGAGGGGGGAACGTCCGTAAGGCGACAAATGACCTAGAACAGGCGCAGCTAGTGGCCACGCCCTGTCCGAGTTTCCCATTATTAGGATGCTCTGGATATTTGGATTGGGGCGCCTTTATACACATTGCGCATGGCTCTCTGAATCTGACTTCGTCGTTTCTTCTCATGTTTTTTTTTGGAAACGTTTTTGCTTCGTGTATGTTATTGCTCTTTGTGGTAATGTAATGATTTGCTTCCTTTTGTATTTGTCTATCTGTAAGCATATGCTCTTTAAAACTGCCTTTTGTAAAAAAAATTGTTTCAGGCTGCAGCAATATGCATAGTGCAATAAAAGATCATCCTAGTAAGGAGGTTAGTAGATATCTGCGTCCTTGAGTGATGTGATACCTTTGTATTTTTCCATGAGTTAGGTATTTAGTATACCATATTTTTATATGTTAATTAGTTTTTGTGCAGATCTCGTCCAAGTTGATGATGTCGAACGGATAGAATGTGAGTAGAATTCCACTCAACAACGGTACTGTAAGCTTATATCAAGTGAAGGTGAGCTACTATTCTTTTGCATCTTCTTTACAATACGACTTTTCTTCAGGCTAAACATAGAAGAAGACTTGGAGCACTTCGAGCAAAAACGCATTTTGCGGTGGGATCTTGATTTTGAGGTGTTATTCGAGCACTTCCTTTTTTCTGTTTTGATTTCAGCTGTCGCTTGCGATACATTGTAATTACATTAATGTGTTGATGATAACAACCACTTTTCTTTATTGTTAGCATCGCTGCTTTTTTCATTGAGATGAGAATAAAGGATTACCGTTCAAATTGTAGGACAGAACAGCGCAGAAAAGCACGAGAAAGGTCATAGAATTGATTATGGACAGAATGCGAGTTTGCTAAGCGGATTGAGTAATTAGACAATTTTGGATTTTCGGCAAAAAGAGTATTTCTTCCATCCGAAGGGAGCTGATTTGCAACAGTATGATCGTTTTATGTCTGTTTGAACAATACCACACTCTGCATTTGCCATGTCCTGATCACCGTTTATGGCAAGCTCAGTCGTTGCGATGCATGATCTATGAATCTGAATGTGAGAAATCGACTTCCGAGTCAAAAGAATGAAGATCGCGAAAGAACTGCACTCCTAGATCAAAAGAACGTGCTTTCGAAGAAATTGATCTGCATATAACCCGTCTTTTGGATGGTGATTTGCGGTTAGTTCTCTCATTTGTTCAAAGCTAAAGTAACGTGTTTCGTAGGTCTGTAATGCTTGGTCTTTTCAACTTGAACTGAGGAAACCAAAAGTTGCACTACCACCAAAACTTGCACTACCAAACTTATGGACAAGTATCAACAAGGAGATAAATAGGTTTCAAGTGACACATTTACTCCGCACACTGCTTAGCTCATATTTGACCAGTAGTTTGACCCTAGGCAACAAGTAAATCAATAGGAACTCCGAAGAATGCTGTTACCGTTAGTGCGCCAGCGCGTGTGCCGAAAGAGCGTCAGTCCCTGGCCTGTTTGACCTCGCGCTCGATGTCACAGGCGCTCATGAGGGGCGTGGCCTCCATGCGCTCGCTCCAACTAGGTTTTGTCGCCTTCCGGCTTACACCCCAGCAGAGGCGAGGGAACGGTGGCCACGCCTCCCATTTTGCCTGCTGTTTAGTGCTGGCCTCGAGTCAATTAATCAGATTGACGCTCTTGTGGCGCATAGGCTGGCACCTAAATGGTGGCGGTGCCCTCTTCAACTACTCTGTTTTGTCCATAAGAGTTCGTTGTGTAAGATTGGTAGGTGTAATCACTCAGTGTATAAGGAAAGGTGACGTAACGCAAGTTGTAGACTCGTAGATTGTTTGCTGATAGCTAACTGATTGAGTGTGAGATGTGGCAGCGAAATTAGATTTCGGTCATCATCTAGCTCACGCATATAATCAGTTCCCAGATTCGTGTGGAGGTGTGTTGCAGACTTTGCCTGATAACAAGGATAAACTTGTTGAACCTCCATGTTATAGCATTGCTTTTCGTACTCTCTCGCTAGCAAAAACCGCCCCGCTGTGAGTTGGCAAGACTTTGCCTCCACACCTCTACGAATCTGGAAGCCGATGATATTTCTAGCTTCTGCATTGAATAAGAATAACGGAATTGCATCAGTTCTATGCAGTTATGTAGCTATCATTCGGATAGAGATGAATCACAATGAAACACAATAAATGCTGCAAAGCAGTTTTCCTTTCGAGTCTCAAAGTAAGAAGAATCCTCATTTTCAGGCAAAATGTCAACTTTGTATCCAGCCGGACCTCGAACTCAATATAGCCGCGATATCTTTCAGAATTTAGCCTTTGCCAACATTTAAGTTCATCTTATTTTTTCTGCTCACTATTCTTCGTTTGACAGGGCAGAAAGAAAAACCACTTTATTCGCAACAAAATCGCACCAGATATAGGACAAGAAGAGGAAATGATAATATCACTCAGCAATGTAGAGTACAACTTCACTTCAAAAACAAGAAATCCCTGTACACAATTTCCGAAGTTCTTTTGTAAGTCTATTTGTTCCACATAGTCATTATCGACAACGGTATCAGGGACCATTATGTATACAGAAATACTGCTTGAGTGAATGAAGTCACGTTAAGTCTAATCATTTCTTCAAGAAAAGACAAGAACCTAGAACCGTTAGGATAGCTAAAATAAAAAAACATATAAATACACAAAAGTTAAACTTAAGCAGAATTTGGTTTTGATAACTCGAGTGTAAGTAGCAGAGTTTACAGAATGCTCACGTCAATAGCCCTTGAGCTCGCCTCTATTCGAATGCATTTAGGCGTGAGATCCATCCTTCAAAAGAAACGATCGGCGAAGTTCAAGCAGAAGGAGTGAGTGAGAGCTCTTACCTCGTTAGTCCATAGCTATGGCGCACGAAGTTGAAAGCGATCTTTCTGCGAATATCTCAACTAAAATGGAATGATTAAGTCGCGACATTTTGATGATAACAAAAAGGTTAGCCATGAATAGGGGGAGGACATTCATAAGGTGATATCTATATAAGAAAATGATGAAATGGAAAAGTAGAAAAGCACAGAACACAAGAAAGGTCATACCTCTGATGAGTCAGGTGACGACTCCTCTTGCTCGCTTATATGTGCAACTACATGAAGGAACTTCCGCATCAATAATACATCTCATACCCCTATAAGCAAATATGTTTACACAAAAGGTGAAAAATATAGAACAGTAAAGGATAGACAAGAACAGAGACAAAAATGAATCACACAAGAACCGAAACATGTAGAAAGCGTGCATACGCGCTCCAGTACAAAGATTGGAAGGACGAGAGTTGACGAGAACTCGGACAGGGCGTGGCCACTAGTCGTGCCTGTTCCAGGGCATTTGTCGCCTTCCGCGTGTTCCCCTGCCACGGCACTCCCACGTGCGACACGTCAGCAAAACCCGCGAAGTACGGGCAGCTTCGGCCGTTGTATCACTGAAGCGGAGGAACTGTTCGGAACAAATTTGATGGGGCTCCTAACTGAGACACTGCCCGATCGGGATTCCCCTATTCCCCCCCCCCTCGAAATTTTGGGTGGACGGTGCCTTTAAAGGCAGTGTCCGGGCAAAAACTCGATTTTGAGATTTTGTGCTTATACGGGCCTATTCGCCATGCTGAATCCGAAAATCCACATAGGAAAGCGCGAAAACGGCGAAAAAGGGCTCTAATATAGGAGGGAAATCAGCAGGTGGGCGGGGCTTTCCCCAGTGCGATTTCACGCTCCCAGCTCCCGGAGCGATTTTCTTGATTCCGCTAGCCGTTCTAACATCACTACCGGCCAAATGCGAATGATTGACTTGAAACCGGAAGCGAGAAGGTCGCTCCGGAAGCCGGGAACGTGAATTCGCAGTGGGGAGGACCCCGCCCACCTGCTCATTTCCCTCCTGTGTTAGAGCCGTTTTTCGCCATTTTCGCGCTCTACAATGTGCATTTTCGGATTCCGCGTAGCGAATAGGCCCAAGTAAGCACAAAATCTCAAAATCGAGTTCTTGCCCGGAGACTGCCTTTAAAGGCAGTGTCCGGGCAGAAACTCGACTTCTAAAAAATCAACTTATCTGGGGTTATCCGCAACGCTGAATCCGAAAATCCACATAGGGAAGCGCGAAAACGGCGAAAAAGGGCTCTAATATAGGAGGGAAATCAGCAGGTGGGCGGGGCTTTCCCCAGTGCGATTTCACGCTCCCAGCTCCCGGAGCGGTCTTTCGATTCCGCTAGCCGTTCTAACATCGCTACAGATCAAGTGCCGAATGATTGATCTGAAACAGGAAGCGAGAAGATCGCTCCGGAAGCTGGGAGCTTGAATTCACAGTGGGGAGAACCCCGCCCACCAGCTGATTTCCTTATTGGAGCCGTTTCCGCCATTTTTGCGCTCTCCAATGTGCATTTTCGGATTCAGCGGAGCGAATAGACCCAAGCACAAAATCTCAAAATCGAGTTTTTGCTGAGTTTTTGCCTAGATTTGCCTGGACGCTGCCTTTGAAAGCAGTGTCCAGGCAAATCTAGGCATATGCGTTCTTTGCCTGGAAACTGTCGAGGAG